AAACACGTAACAAATACAGCTACTTTCGTCATATTGGAGTCCAAAACATGTATCAAATAGAGCTACTTTCGTCATATTGGAGTCCCAAAACATGTATCAAATAGAACTACTTTCGTCATATTGGAGTCCCAAAACATGTCGTCGCGTGAGAATAACTTTGTACTAACTGCCATTTTCAAAAAAATTGAGATAGACATGGAATTTTACTATTTGAAACACAGGCTTTCATCTCAGATACATGCCCCATCTCAATTCCCTCTCATTAAGCTAGAATTCAGTGTGAAATTGTACCATCTCCAGACAAACAGCTTATTCCTAATTTCAAATTGTCATATCTGATATCAACTGTTTCAACCAATCAACTCTCTAAGAATTGGTCATGTGACTTGCAAAACTTGGAGTTATAACAATCTTATATTAAAACGAAGTATGCCAATATGCATGTTATTGTATCTAGAATGAAATAATGTTTTGTAACACAATACCATGCCAGTTTGCATGCCTGGTCTTTCATGTTTTAGTTTTAGAACTATAACAAGTAGATCAAAAAATAAAATGATACAGTATGTGTAATCCCATGCATATTCAAATTATATGCCCTCAATTACTCTTTGTATTATGGATGCTCATTGGATTATTCATGGCCACATGATATGAAATAGAATTACTAATTTCCTCAAAAACCTAAATCCTTGCTACCAGGGAAGATGAAAAGTACAAATGACCAGTTAATTAGATCCTGTGAGCAGTCAAAAGTACCCTTTATCTTCCCTGCTACCAGGTCTTATAGGGGTTTGAATGGCCAAATGCAATAGAAATGCATATACGAAGCTGTCATCATTAAATGTTGAAAATGAAAGACTACTTATTTGTTTCTTCAAATAGAGTACATAATAATAGGTTATATACTAGATATAGTAATCAAAACAAATAGTAACTGTCATATTTTGCACTACATTGCTCAAAGGCAATCACTGTCTGTATACTATTGAAATCTCTTTCAAAATGATGTTTTATAGTTTGTGGAAAAAAGCTAAATCTATTTAAACTAGCTTTAACTTTTACTGACCATACACTATATCAATAAGGAGTTATCTTTATGTTAGTATAGTCCCTTAAAACACTTATTTTATTTTCTCTTCATCTATGATTTTCTTTGCGCTTTTCACTGAACATCTGGGATCTTTTTAGTTATTTTATTACTAGTATGTTTTTCAGATTTGTCCTTTCTTTTGCATTTTTGGGATCATTGTTTTTAGATCATCTACATTTTATTTTGGAAAAGTAACAAATTTGTTCAATTTCTTTACAAAGAGCCACTCTTAGTCTCCACTTCTACAATTGCTTCAATTCCCAATTGTACTCCACAGAGTAGCAAACAACAGAAAATGAATGGATAATGATAGCTGCATCCCAATGAACAAAATGTGATTACCTAAATCGAGGTTTCATCACTTTCATTAATCCAAAATGAATTAGAAATTATTTTTCTATTTTCAAATTTCTTCCATGTGCATGTAATAAAAATTGGTTATGTCTTAGGCCCTAAGGATCTGAAGCCTGCTGGTCAAAATGGAATTACGGACCAGTTGCAATGTTATTCTCCTATACCCAGTGAAAAAATCAACTGGTCTGTATCAAAAATAACCTGATAATGACCAGCGGACCGGCCCTTAGGGGCTACATTGTAATGTGCTGGGAGGTTTAGGCTACAGGGTTTATACCGAGGGAAATATATGGGGGACCGTATTGGCATCATTGGTTTCAATGCATTGTACTTCTGCCTTAGTTTCAAAGGCAATAAATTCTTTTTGAAGGGTGTCCTGAGATTCCAAAATTAAGAAATAATTGTACTTATTTGAGAAATTGATTTTAAAGTTATATAAATTGAATTTTCTTTATTTTATTGAATAATATTCTTTGGTTTTTGAAGATTTTTTTACAAAGCAAAACATTATTTTTCATTCTAGATACAATAACATGCATATTGGCATACCTTGTTTTAATATAAGATTGTTATAACTCCAAGTTTTGCAAGTCACATGACCAATTCTTAGAGAGTTGATTGGTTGAAACAGTTGATATCAGATATGACAATTTGAAATTAGAAATGAGCTGTTATTCCGGTGGGAAATTGTATCAACTCCATTTCCATAGTTTTAAAAAAGGATCTTGTAAATTGTTTCAAGGTATGATATTTCATATAAGATATCTCTAGGGTGAGACCAGGTGACATACAAAAAATCAAGTTTCACATAGCAATACTAAGTAAGATACAGACCTCTAAACTTTCAAACCTTGATTTCTCAGTTCCGTAAAAATGTGAGATAGTACAAAGTTATTCTCATGCGACGATGTATCAAATACAGCTACTTTCGTCATATTGGAGTCCCAAAACATGTATCAAATAGAACTACTTTCGTCATATTGGAGTCCCAAAACATGTATCAAATAGAGCTACTTTCGTCATATTGGAGTCCCAAAACATGTATCAAATACAGCTACTTTCGTCATATTGGAGTCCCAAAACATGTATCAAATACAGCTACTTTCGTCATATTGGAGTCCCAAAACATGTATCAAATACATGTAGAGCTACTTTCGGCATATTGGAGTCCAAAACACGTAACAAATACAGCTACTTTCGTCATATTGGAGTCCAAAACACGTAACAAATACAGCTACTTTCGTAATATTGGAGTCCCAAAACATGTATCAAATACATGTAGAGCTACTTTCGACATATTGGAGTCCAAAACACGTAACAAATACAGCTACTTTCGTCATATTGGAGTCCAAAACACGTAACAAATACAGCTACTTTCGTCATATTTGAGTCCCAAAATATGTATCAAATATAGAACTACAGGTACTTTTGTAACGAAATAAAGAAACCGAGTTACTAGGGAGGTTAAGATTAGCGTAAAAATATGCGTGTACCTATCCCTATCCGTATGTTTGTTACGGATACGTATAGGTAAGGCGTATTGCAAAATGAGTTTAAGATTAACGTAAAAGGCTACGAAACCGTATGCTACAATTTATGATAAAATTAACATCCTAATTATAGAATGAAAACCATGCGATGGCGTATATGGCATATACTATATCTAGTACATGTCACCTCCAAGAACTGTTATATACTTCAGAGAGAGCGTGGTGTAGCTACTGTTGTTGGGAGGGGGTGTTGCTTGTGGGCCCGCTAATGGGGCAGTGACTTAATTACGGCGAAATGTTACATTTCTAGCATGATCCAGCAATGAGAGTGACCAAATAGTAAAGTTAAACAATTAAAACCACGAGAAATGGCTGATTTCACACATTTACAATAAGCAAAACTGATGAAGAATGTGTAAATGTAAATTCAACAATTTCATGCGTCATCACATGGCATTTATCGCATCGCATCAATGAATGTGTTCGACCACTTTATTTCTATGCAGATCGAATGAGAAATGTTTGTTGTTACTATTTTAGAGTTTAATGGATTATATTTGATCTAGAATGACATAATTTGTTGGATAAAAACATACGTTTTCGAATTACCTATCTTCTGCCATTTATAGGTAATTACGTATCGTAAACCCTATAACTTAGGTAAAATACCGCTTAGAGTAATAACAAACTACGTATAGGTATAGGTAGATGGGTTATTTAGTATTTACGCTAACCTTAAACTCCCTACTGTAGGAAAGTACACTCTACATACTGCTTACATTAAGTGGTGTTTTTAGAGGTTACCCAGTTATAAGTGGTAATCAAAATGACCTCATAAATTAGGTTTTATGAAGCTGAACTTTTACTGCCCTGGAAACGAAAACATGATGTCTTCGTTTCAGCATGGCCGAACTTCCGGTAGAAGAATTTGATAAGACCTTGTTTTCTTGATTGCGCCAACTTTATCCATCAACTTTTAACTTAGCCAGTATGTAATGCGTATGTTCCGGTGTAAAAGGGTAGGAGGTCCTACCAAATTATGGTCCTACTCTCCATTGATTTATATGGTGACCTAAATACAACTCTTCCCCTCATTATCTTATACGCAATCAGGGCCAGTAAGGGACAATAAGAAAGGGGACCATAATCCCCAGAAGACCCGGAAAATAAAAAATAAAATAAAAATATATATATAAAAAAAATATAAATAAATGAAAAAAAAATCCCCAGGGGACCCGGATAATTTATTTTATAGCGGTTAAAAGATTTTACCACATTTACATAACCTAGTAATATCCATATGAAGGGGGTCACATTTGCACTTGAAAGCATATTGTAGATGTTTGGGAGGGGTGTATGTTAATTTTTATTGTACAGGGTGTCAAAAAACAACGGCACCCCCCCCCTTCTACAGCAAAAAGTCCTCAATGTTACATATCGTGTCATACCTCATTTGAAAGTTTATAATCATATTTTGCATGGTAACAGTTTAATTTGAAAAAAAATCTTTTCTCTATGTTGTTTTAGAAAACACATCAGACACTTCTTTTGTTCTTGGTATCATATGTTCGGAATGAAACGAAACATCTATCCGAACCTCATTGGAACAAAACGACACAAACCCAGCGTGTTTAGGTCTCTCAGTAATTTAATTGTACAAAGGAAAGTTTGGTTGATTTAAAAAGTACCTTGTTAATGAAATAAAAGGTTTACTTTAATTTTACAAGATATTTCATTTCATTCTTAAGAATAGGTAGAAAGGAACAAAAACAATTGCACTAAAATGCAAAATATGCAATATATAGTTTTATATATAAAGTTTAATTTAAATAAAGTGTAGTCAATCATGTTTTCGCTCGGCCATCTTTGTTTGAGGTTGAGGAGCACCGTATAACGAGAAAAATGTCATGACTTATATTGTACTAATTGCACTCTTGAATCCACTTGCAGTCTAATGTCAACCAATGTCACTTGCCTCATAATTAAACCATTAATGAATTTTTAGACTATTACAAATTGTCTCAAGTTCAAATATTAGGAGGCATATTTCTTCTTTCTAGTCTCCTTGCTACTAGGTCATTTTCAGCTCCTTCCAGCATACATTTAGATATAGTGCTAAGAACTTGGACTCAATGAGATTGGAAATAAAGAAATATAAACGTTTTTAATCGTAAAGAATATTCGAAGAGTGATCATGTGACTTTTAATTCAGATTTCATATTATATGATTAATCATCAACCAAAAAGTCATGTGTACGTCGTGATCGTGATGATTTAAACAGGCTAAAACTAAAATAGGCTTGCGAAAATGATAGGTGAACTCATAATTTTGATCTGCTCTTTAATCTTGGTTCGTTTTGTATCACATTATGCAAGAAGGAAGAAATGCAATGCACCTGGACCTCCCGGTTGGCCTATTATTGGAAACTGGTTTGAGTTAGAGACAGTCAAACCATGGTTCCAAATGGAAAGATGGCGGCAAAAGTATGGCGACGTTTTCAAGCTGAAACTTGGGGTGGCGGATATTGTTGTCGTAAATGGTGAGGCGATATACGAAGTTCTTGTGACAAAAAGTGACGATTATATGGACAGACCCGACAATGGTCGTTACAAAATGCTAACGGACTATCATGACATCATAACAAGAAAATCAGATGAAAAATGGAAAGATTTTCGGAAAGTTGCACATCAAGGACTAAGACAATATGGGAAAGGAGTTCTTCGTATTCAAGAATTGAGCCAGGATCAAGTTTTGAAATGCGCTGAAGCTTTTTTAAAAACTAACGGTGAACCTTTTAACCCGTTTGATGACATATTTCATACGATTGCAAATGTGGCTCTTGTCGCGGTAAGCAACTCTAAGAAATATTTTAAGTGTTTTGATGAATGTATTGCAACATGAACTATTATAGCGTTTTACGAAGGCCCCCATGAAGTGGGCCGAGCCATTCGTCCTGGTCCAGAGTTGGCCAGTCGCGCAAGGAGGATTGGAAGCCAGGGTTCCAACTCGATATTCTTTAATCTCCACGCATGCGTCATTTGCTATTCGTGTCTGTATAATTTGTACTACTGCATGGAGAATGACCCGATACTCTCCAACAAAGCTATCGCTAGGTGATTGTTTTGCAGAATATCGGTGTTGCATTCTGGGAGCCAATCCTCCTTGCCAGTCGCGTGAACAAAGGTCCACCATTATAACCTTATATGGCAAATCATCAAGGCAACGATCACGACGTCATATGTTGTGATTGTGATGAAGATATGACGATATATCACATAAACTACTGTATGACATCAGTTCTTATTGCCCTATCAACTAAACAAACAAGAAAGCTAAACGTCACGCACACATCATAGTGTTGATTATATTTTAATTTGTGACTTTACTAACATGTTACCTAACCTACAGAAAACAAGCAGTTACATGTTGTTTGTGTTACGCGGTAAACAAGATACAAATATATGTCATATTCCACAACGAATATGGTATATTCACTTGTGGTGTATGACAGATTCACCTGCGGTATATGGCATACACACTAGCCAGTGAGAACGTGATACGGAAGTACACAATTGTAAATTGCATCGATTGAACGAACGAATAGAAGTTTATAAATTATCATAATGATTACTGAATCAGCAGTACAGTGTATCGAATATATCTACTTATGCAGAGGTATCACTCACCAATCTCACGTAATAAACTTAATCAATCCAAGATTCATATATAAGTACTTTGCGCACTCACGTTATTCGTAATCCAGCCTAGTTTTACATTTAGAATAGATTCTCGCATCCAATCAAATCAAGGCTTTCTGTATCACGTTTTCACCTGCGGTAAATGTCATATTCACCTGCGTTATATGGCATATTCCGCAAGTGAATATGACATATTCCGCAGGTGAGTATCAGGTATTCACTGAAATCAATGTATCGCATATTCACTGCGGAATATGGCATACTCACCTGCGGACTATGACATATACCGCAGGTGAGTATGGCATATTCACCCATATCACAAATACCGCGCAACCATGAATATATGACATATACCGCGTAACAGTTTGTTCATTGTCTTTCTCTGTGGCATTTTCATAAAAAAATGGATCAGTTTTGTCGAAATAGCATTTTGGCCTTCGTATTTATCTAGTGTCATTTTCACTGGAATTTCTTGTTACCAAATGGACTTAATTTTAAGTAAATTGGGCAAAAGGAGCTTAATATGTTAATTATTTGCAAAACTGAATAAAGTTGTTGTAAATTGTTTCGTTTAAGCTGAGTGGATCGGCCTTTGAAAAGAACCATGAAGTTATGCAAAGATTGAAAAAACTGGACATTGATGCCAACCGGATGCTTGGGATAGATGGTGTGCATATCGACGTGATGCCATGTTTGAAGTATTTTCCCCACAAGATGGGCAAAATGGTGCGAGAGGCTGTTCGAGATCAAATGATTGTCCTTGATATGCTTTGGGACTTCGTCAAGGTAAATCTCTCTCTCTCTCAGAGACATATAAAACAGTTTTATATGTCTCTGATAAAATCCTAATAACTTTTTTAATTTGCAGATCTCAAGACTTAATGTTTATCTACAACATTAAACTGGTTTTAAAAGGAAATTGAAGAATACGTTTTTTGGAAAATGCTTAGGTGGACTATACTTACTAGTATCAAGTCCTTTATCCTTTCTCGAATACACAAGTGTAACATGTATTGTATTTTAGGAAAATTGTGACCTTGAAAAACCTGCAGGAGTTCTTCCAGAATTCTTCAAGAATCAAGAGGAGCGGAAAGATTCCGATATGCCGTTATCTGATGAGGAAGTCTACGGACTTGAGCAGAATCTAGTTGTAGGAGGTACAGTACAAGCGTAACTTTACATAAACACTGCTCAATATATGGGTATAAACAAATATTATTGATATCCTTCTTGTCTTGAATTTTATGATAAATTGCATAGGTTCTGGGCCGATATAAAGATGGCAGCACCAACAGAATACAGTATTATTTTTTTCTCAAAGAGAAATCGATTACCATGCCATCTTTATTTAAAAATGATTTCTATCGCCCTTTAGCCGATGATAAATTGTCCAATCGAACTCATCGAGGGAAGTATTACAGCAGTGAAATCTATACAAAATACTTTCCATTTACAAAATGTTATTGGGGTCACGTCTAAGAATTGAAATGCCCCGAAATGAGGTATGAGGTCCTTGTTTGGAAATGCCATCATGAAAAAGTAGCATCCTGTCAAATGTAAATGCAAGTCTCTCTTTAATAAAACTAAATGCAACAGAAGGGGATCTTATATATTTATGGACAAAACATCTGATTCTTGACTTGACATAACATTTCAAATGGGTTAATTCAAGTGAATTCCAAACATAATGTTTTCATAACTTTAAATTTATTGAGCATTTATCAGGATCGATCTTGAGACAAAATACATGAGTAGTTTCATGAAGACTAGTGATAACGCTGGTACAAAATTTTTGGACCCTAGTCATAGCCAAGACGTCTTGGCGTTAAAACCTTTTACAAGCGAGTGTAAATCCATCGGTTTTAGCTTAGAGCTCTTAGCCCGGTTTTTGCGTTGCGCCGAACGAAACATTTGAAACTTTCCATTTACATATGTCGCATGGTCCTTTATTTTGTCTTATCCCTTGTTCCCAATACCATCCTGGCGATTTATCATAATGCTAATTTATGCATAAAATCTTCCAGCTCTCTTTCATGCTTTTAACAATGCTGTCTATAGGACATATTTTTCTGAAACCGATGCATTCTTCAGTACAAAGTCGGGTACAAAGTATAGAAGCGGGAAAGGAATTGCTATATTGACTGAACCGTCCTTCAACCAGTACTGAACTGCTTTTTTCATTTTACATGCATACCTACATATCTCTAAGACGTTTTAGGGAATTCGAAACAGGTGTAAACTCGATCTTATTTCCTAAGACGTCTTGAAAATGGTAATGTAAACTCAACTTAATTTTTCTAGAACGTTTTAGCCAAAACGTCTTGGAATGCTGCGCGTAGTGTAAATTGGGTTCAAGTGATTAAATTATGGGATGGGGAAATTAACTTGTTCGGATACATCCCGACTCTGATCTACACGACAATGTCGACTTTTGGCGGAGTTTGAATTTTGCGGCATACATTGTATTTCAAAACTTAAGGCAAAGTGTTTAATAAACGTCCTTGCTAGTATTTTCCATTTGTCACTCTACATATTCAAAACTGATTTTGTTTAACGTATTACATTTTAATTTTTCATTTCAAATACAACCGGCACGTGTATGATATGTTGTTTTCTGTTTAATTGATACAAGGCCTATTTACCACGACGGCGGCAGTGAAATCAATGGTTGCGTACATGGTAGATTACCCGGATGTTCAGAGAAAGTTGCAGCTTGAGATTGATGAAGTGCTACAAGGAAGGTATGTAGGAATAAAACCTGGTAGAGTTTCAGTAAATTCTTTATTTGTCTTTTTTAATTTTCTTTGTGTCCAATTTTGGGTCTACTCACTGAGTTTAAATTTTTCTTTCATATCATAACATGTTTTGCAATACTTCTTTTCAAGGTCTGGCCGTCATCGCATTTATATAGGTAGTGGGTGGGAAAGTATTTCGTTGGGGTTAATTTATGAGTGCTCCCAATCAGTTTCAATGAAGTACAGTAAGTAAATATTTTAGAAAGATATCACCGTGCAATCGAGAGAGCTCAAAGTACAGGGTGGTCCAAAAAGTGAACTGTTGCAACAGGCTATATTTCCTTTATTACCTGCAGAAATTCTCTCATATTTTCACATGTTGTAGAAGAAGGTCTAAAATTTGCTGTTCCATCTATTTTTCTTGGTTAAAATTTGCACATTTTATAAGCCCTAACCAAACATCACTGAAAATAGTTAAATTCAACTTCAATGATTCTTCAACCCTTCAACAATCTTCCCGTGGACATTTTTTAGCTGAAGTCTGAAAAACCTTATGTTTTCTGACTTTGTTTAGTTGGACACTTTTTGTGAAAGATATGAACGAAACATTTATTTCGAGAAGAGAATCCAGCTGAATAGCACGAAGTTTGCGTTTCATTGCAATTCTTGATCACCCTAAAATTCCAACAGTTCAAGATTTGGGACTTCAAAAGTTTTATATTACAACGGAACCATTAATTTCAATATCTGTTTTGTCAATTTGTGTGCAAAGGTTGCCAACACTTGATGATCGGAGAACGATGCCATATATGGAAGCGTTCATTCTTGAATCACTCCGCCAGACTTCTTTACTTCCGATTTTAATACCACACATGACGAAACGTGACGTCTCACTGAGAGGATATGACATCCCTAAGGACACACAGGTAAAATTCTTCCGAGTCCAGATGCTAGCATGAACTTCAAAAGAATTTTTTATGGAGTCATGTGTACATTTTCGACATGTGAAGACCATATGTAGCCCCCGATCGCAACCCCCTCCCCCTCATAACTAATGAAAATATAACCATGAGATAAAATAGCTTTAAAAATGCTTTTTATTTGAAGCTTCTAGCTCAATTTGAAGGAAGTTGCATCAATTTTTGTAAAATTCAAGATAAATCTAACTTTTTGCTTGTTTATGCCACAATCGCACCCCCTGACGCCCCTGCTCGTAGGCCTATAATTGACTGCGTTGATTTGTCAAATGAAAATACTAAATGTTTTGATAATACCTTTTAATAAGCAATTTTTATTTAAATGATCTTTAACTTGCACATTTTATGCGTTCATGCGTATAAACTTGATATTCAGATAATATTCAACCTAAAAGAAACTCCTTGTTGGTATTCACCTTTAAAAATGGAAAGGATGATGCTCATTTTGTTTACATATTCAAGGTTTGGGTGAATGCGTTTAACCTGCATCACGATGAGCGTTACTTCAAAGATCCTTGGACTTTCAACCCTGATCGATTCCTCGAGGAGGATGGAAGTCTCCTCCCAACACACAAACGCAAAATGTAAGCAAAACAAAAGTAACGCTTTAGTGCTTAAATTATAAATAGGGTGGTAAAAAGTGAACCCTTGTACAGTTGCAACAAACTATACGAAGTTATTACCTTCATTAATGGGCTAACATTCTTACATAGTTTAGAGGAAGGTCCAAGGAAGATTGGCTCCCGTGGTCTCAACTCGATATTCGATCTTGACTTTGATCGATGACAACATTGAGAATGTCGTTATTTTCTGATATTAAAACCGACTATAAATTAAAAATCAGGGGTTTACGAAAAACACCAACCGACGATCACCGACCAGTCACTCTCCACAGTTGGGTACACGTGGTCGGTGGTCGGTTTTTACATAAAGATAAAAAGATGCAAAATTAGAAGAAGGTATAACTAAAACTGGGAATCAAATGACTATAGTACCTTTACAAGGTCGTGTTTAAAAATGTATTTAATCATTCAAATCACGATGAAAAACGTAACATCGTCGTGGTGTGTAATGTCATATCTTTAAGTGATGTCTCATTTGTTAGAAGACCAATTTCATTCTGGTTAGTCACTTTGGATTATGATAAGAAAACGCACGTTACATTGCATTAAGTTCATTAATATGATGAAACGCAATAAAAAAAACACTTGCTGTACATTGTCGGTGTTCACGTCGTAACGTAATGTTTGATTTCTCAGTTGTTAAACGTCAGATGGTAAAAACTACATTCGATATGACAAGAAAGCTTTCTAATGGTGTACTGAAATGGAGAGAAGGCATGTAACATTTCATCGTGTTCAGAATTCAGTAGGCTATGACGATAGCAAATCATTTAATTTTTATTTCGAATTTGTACGTTGGATTTCAGTAAAAAATTAGAATAGAGTCCCGTATAGAAACAATAGGTTGGTTAATGGTAGGTCAGGAACCTAAGGAAGGACAATTAAATCGTGAGGAGACGGTCATGCCCAATTTGTTTGCTTGTCTTTCGTTGAACAAAATCGGTAAAAACGTTTCCTACGATATTGACATTGAAAATCCAATTATTAAACTATTTTAAAAGTGTATGGTCGGTCTTTTACATGTTAATAGAGAATTTTCGTTATAAGTTGTTTCAAAAACTTATACGTATACTTATAGTTTAAAGGGTCTTGTCGAACTAAAATCAATTCAAATTGATTTTCATAATCTGTACCAAGTGGGGCATAACTATTCCCGATATAGTCAAGCTCCATCATCAACTAAGGACTGCGAATACAATGTCCTTTGCTAGTGTCAATTATGAACACGATAAACTAAACGCTAGTTGACGGGTCCTTGTAGTGTACGATAAACAAGACCCTTTAAAGTGAATCACTACACGAACGAGTCGATCATTTCAAAGTTCTCATGAAATTATAAGGTCAATTTTTAAGTTTTTACGTATAAAAGGGCCTTTATACGCGGATTATAAACTTACAGAGTTGGATCTCCGCATAGTATATGTGTGGACCTACTGACCAGAATGGCTTATTAAAATTAATCGGCTGAATAGGCATAGTATCCAATCAAACAGCTCGACTCATTCATTAGCTGAACTAATTCTCCCTTCGTTATTTCTACAAGGTGATTCAAAACGATCATCTACAAAAAATCAAGGGGGTACAGATGGTATGCCATTGGCCCTTTTTATTACCGTCCTAGGAGATATTTCCCGACGAATTAGGAAATTATGAAACACCTTGTTTATTGGGTTTATAAGTATAAGTATGCGTATAAGTTTTTAAAAAACTTATAACGAAAATTCTCTATTGTCTGTCTTTTACGCATTTTCTTCAAACCCTGTTTTGAGGCTACCAGTGGAAAACACCGACCGGTCGGTGGACTCGGTCTTTTTCGTAAACCTAGCCAAAACTTTATGTGAAAAAATGGCGGACATCTTGATTTTGTAATCACGACATGACTACGTTATAATAAGGTCTAGTTCATCATACCATATATGTCAAGAATCTCGATGTTGCACTCTGGGAGCCAATCCTTGAGAAGGGTCTAAACTTTTTGGAGGTAACCTATACCATACGGTAGGCTACATAGTAAATGTGTTAGTCTACCCGAAGACTTACAAATTAAAACCAGGAACCAATATTTAAGAACATCATTTCTGTCATTGGCTAGGTTGTTGCCTTTTGGCGCAGGGCGACGAGTTTGCGTCGGAGAACAATTTGCCAGGATTCGAATGTTCCTTTTCATGACAACGCTGCTGCAACGTTTGACCTTCCTCCCTGCATCACCTGACAGCAAGCCGAACTATGATCCTAGGGACAGCATCATTGGATTTATCCTCAAAATGAAGGACTACAAACTAAGGGTAGTCAAGAGGGGTGTGTAACTACATGTATCGGTTACGTATGATTCGCCAGGAATAACCAGTACAGTTAAAGTACGTGCATATATAGGACCTATAAACTGAGATGACATCTCTATAGCCATGGCTGGAAAGCTGATGATGTAGCCAATGTAGGCACTAAGGGCTGGTCCGCTGGGCATTACAGTTACTTTTGATACGGACCTGTTGATTTGTTCACTGGGAATAAAAAAATAACACTGACGTAATGCCATCTTGACCAACAGGATCAGATCCTTAGGGCCTACGCTGGATGTAGCCATCTTAGAAATAGGACCACGTAAATTTAGTTATCTGTAGCTTGTGCTCTAGTTCTTTTTTATTTACTTTACATGTATAACTCAAAATTATAAGCAATTTAGAAGTATTTAGATGGCGCCATTCGAATGTAACGGTTCTTGCTTGCTTCCAATGGACAGCAAATGAATGACATGAAACGCATTGGTTTGATTGTACATTACATGTACGCATAGTGCTTTAACACATGTATAACAAAACTAACAAACTATTCGAGGAGGTGCGCTATGAACAGGTACATATACACATCAGCATTCAGCACATATATCACCGTATGTAATGTATCAGTGATCTCCCGAGCATTAAATCAAGTGGGGCAGCACCCATCTGAGATTTTGAAAAAAGGCTTGCATCCACCTGAAAATCCATTTGCACCCACTTGAAAATGGGAAAAATCATGAAAAATCAGCATGTTTTGACCAGTTTTGGTCTGAATTGTGAAAATGAGAAATTTGCACCCATCTTAGAAAATATCCTGGGGAGATCAATGTGTATATAACTCAATTTACTGTTATTTACCAGAAGGAAATATAAAGTATATGAAGGCATATTCTACAGTTGATGGAGTGTCATTTTGTTGTTTTCATGCAGTTTATTGACGATGCAAAAATCTGTTAGACGGCATGTCCACCATAATGTACTATACAACAACCTTGTACAAATGTTTATTTGACCTTGAGTAAAATGAGGAAAACATAAATGCCGAATTTAATTAATTACTACTAGACAGTTACGCTTCTTGATCCATGTTGTGTACCCATATCCATTGCAAGAACCAACTATCCGAAGCAACCTGCCACTGTGTCCAATATTTTGTTGCAAATATCCAGTATTTTCGTTATTTTTGTGGTAAAAAACTGTCTTAGATCTTAAAAGTCCTGCCACAAAAGTTCAAGTCATATCACACAATTTAAAGTGCAATGAACTGCACATAATTGAATCATGAAATGCAAATAACCATCTTATTTTCCTATATCCTACGCATGCTCTTAATATCTGCTTGAACAGATCGAGACAAAGTGTCCCTTATAGATGCACTTTCTCATTATACATCTCGTGGTAATAAAATTCAATATAAAAAGTGTCTTAGTCTGAAACACCTCACAAGTCGTGTCATGCATTTAAAGTACACTTTAGAGGTCAAAATTGAATTAAGCAATGCTCTCAGAGGTGCATTGTCTATATAACATTTTATATCCTGTGGTATATTGAAATTCCATTCGTACATCTCCAACTTATGAAAATTCTATGGTAGCCATTTGCACTAAAGCCAGTGACACATTTTGGACAAACATTGAACTGTTGAAAGTAGCACTGTTCAACGCAATCATCAAATATCCAATATGAGCTGCAACTATCCAATACTTTCTACATTTATGTCGTAAATTAAGATTCCATTCATAAATCGCTAACTTATGTAAATCCTATGGTAGTCATTTGCACCGAATCCAGCGTTACATTTTGGACATTTACGTTGTCGAGTCTCGTAACGTGTTTTCAGGCACTCAAGACAGAATACATGGAAACATTTTGTCAGGACTGCATCTTTACGTTTGACCTTGCATGAGGGACAGGTCAACTGCTCCTGTAAGCAGACACAAATGTTTATTAAAATTGGGGCCTTATGAAGGGCTACGATTCAATATTTTAACAAGAGGTAGATGTATTCTAATATCGAGGCATAAATACAGTGTAACAAATGTTACAGATGAAAAGAAGGCGTCCAAAAAAGGTAAACTATACTGTAGGTCAACACTTCTTGGTACCCAGATAAATAAAGTATAGTGGTATTAGGAACAGTATTTTCCATCTGTATTTTCCTACTGAATGGAATCCATTATATAAAGTGGAAGGCTTACAATGATGCTGTTATTTAACTTTACAAATCCAGACTTTCTTTACAATGTTAAAGTATGGATGTCAACTTCCCCTCCATATAACAAATAAGACAATTTGTTTTGCATTTCCCTTAAGCTTTTTCAAAAAATCAACATTCTTTTTGAGCGAAAATTAATCATTTTTCTCATGACATAATATTGTCCTTACACAACGGATATTGATATTCATACAGCACCCCTTATTATTCTAATATTTGCATTAAAAACGAATTGAAATACCTTATATTCTTTGATTTCCTCCATTAGTATTTCATCTGCAGTGCCCGCCTGTTCTATCTTCTTGGCTCTTTCTAGCTTACGACGCAGGATTGCTACTTCTTCCTACAAGTGTAAGCAGTAATGACTTCAGTATAAAATAATGTCATGAAGTCTTATATCTTATTTGACGGGCCTAGGTCATTATGATCATTATGATATTTTCCTTGGCCAATATCATATTTTCCCTCAGAATAAAATTCATATTCCATCCCTCTCATTAAATAACCTCTATATCTTCCAATTATGAAATAACATTATTTGATATAAAGGTGGCTTTTACTATATACCCTCACTGAATTCCATATTAACCCTATTTTCATGAGGGCCTCTAAAGTGGCTTACCCCTATACGCTTGTATTTAAAGGACTCTTGTTCTATCGCTGCAGTTTTAGTTGCCACAGCATCCTGGGCTTCTTTTAATTGAGACGTGTATTTATCAAGATGAAGACGCAAGTCTGATGCACTCTGGGAAGTCTCTACAGCCTTACGTTTATGCATTTCTGCAGACTGCTGACGTAAACTAAAAGTGAAAATTATTTTCTTCTTTTATTTATTCAATTCATTTGTATCAAAATAATATGACACACAAAAGCTCCTCAAACACTTTTAATTCAGCATTATAGAAGAGTATTAATAATAAACAAGTGAAATTAAAATGTTTTTGAAGTTGAATGTATGTAAAAGAGAAAACCACTTATATTTGCAAAATAACTGACCAATTAGGATGAATAAAATTGTATTGGTCAGTTTAAAAAATATTGTTCACTTTGTAAAAAAGCCAGATATGGCCAAATAACCATCAGTGTAGAGCATGGAATTCAGTATCAAGAAAAAGGTGCAAATAAAAACGAGGCAAACATGACAAAATGTCACCACCTAGTTGCTCACAATATCATGAATCTTTTTTGACGTTGAGAAGGTCATTAAAGGTCAAAGCTCAAATCCATAGTCAGATTTGAACTTTTGGGAACTTGTAGATGAATTTGAAAAATATTGGTTAATTTGAAGCAAGTTGAAAATACCTTTTTAAACTTTTGACCTTTAGAAGGTCATTGAAGGTCAAATCTTAAACCTAAAGTCAGATCATCTATAACAAACAAGGCATTAACATGACAAAATGGCACCACCTAAAACAATTTGGTCAATTTAAAGCAAGTTGGAAAATACCTTTTGACCTTAAGAAGGTTTGATTTGAAGGTCAAAGGTCAAATTTAAAGTCAGATTTGAACTTCTGAGAACTTGTTAAGTTAAATTTGAACTTCTGAAAAGATGTAGATGATTTTGAAAAAAAAATTTGGTCAATTTGAAGCAAGTTGAAAACAGACCTTTTTGACCTTTTTTGACCTTGAGAAGGTCATTAAAGGTCAAATGTCAAATCTAAATTCAGATGTGAATTTCTGAGAACATGTAGATGATTTTGAAAAAAAAAATTAGTCAATTTGAAGCAAGTTGAAAAAAGACCTTTTTGACCTTTTTTGACCTTGAGAAGGTCATTGAAGGTCAAATGTCAAATCTAAAGTCAGATTTGAATTTCTGAAAAGATGTAGATGATTTTGAAAAAAAAAATTGGTCAATTTGAAGCAAGTTGAAAACAGACCTTTTTGACCTTTTTTGACCTTGAGAAGGTTATTAAAGGTCAAATGTCAAATCTAAATTCAGATTTGAATTTCTCAGAACATGTAGATGATTTTGAAAAAAAAATTAGTCAATTTGAAGCAAGTTGAAAAAAGACCTTTTTTGACCTTGAGAAGGTCACTGAAGGTCAAATGTCAAATCTAAAGTCATATTTGAATTTCTGAGAACATGTAGATGATTTTGAATAAAAAATTTAGTCAATTTGAAGCAAGATGAAAAAATACCATTTTGACCTTTTTTGACATTGAGAAGGTCATTGAAGGTCAAATGTCAAATCTAAAGTCAGATTTGAATTTCTGAGAACATGTAGATGATTTTGAAAAAAAAAATTAGTCAATTTGAAGCAATTTGAAAAAAGACCCTTTTGACCTTTTTTGACTTTGAGAAGGTCATTGAAGGTCAAATGTCAAATCTTAAGTCAAATCTAAAGTCAGATTTGAATTTCTGAGAATACATAGATGATTTTGAAAAAAAAATTTAGTCAATTTGAAGCAAGTTGAAAACAGACCTTTTTGACCTTTTTTGACCTTGAGAAGGTCATTGAAGGTCAAATGTCAAATCTAAAGTCAGATTTGAAGGTCAAATGTCAAATCTAAAGTCAGATTTGAATTTCTGAGAACATGTAGATGATTTTGAAAAGAAATTTAGTCAATGTGAAGCAAGTTGAAAAAATACCTTTTTGACCTTGAGAAGGTCATTGAAGGTCAAATGTCAAATCTAAAGTCAGATTTGAACTTCTGAGAACATGTAGATGATTTAGAAAAAAATTGAAGTCAGTCTAAACAGTATTTGTTAAGTTATAGGAAGTTGTAAGAAATTGTTACAGACGCCGGACGCCAGACGCCGGACGCCGGACGCCAACCACCGTCTCAAAAAAACGGAGACCATAACAATATGTCACCACTTTTGGTGGTGACATAACAAGGTGTCTTATAACTTTATTTCGGTCACAAAAACTTCATTCATTCACTCACGCTAATTCTTTCTCAACTGTAGCCATATTACTTTGTAGGATCCGCTCTTTCTCTTCTAGTTTCCGTACAACTTGGTTCTGAGCCTCAACTTGGCACTGTATTGTATGCACTTGTTCTCCAAGCACATCCTTTTCTTCCTTTAGGAGTTTCTGGATTTGGTTGGACTTAATACGCTAGGATAGCAGGGAACAAACAATTAATTAAGGATTTTCTGGAACTGATTAAACTGTATATGCTTATAGCAACAGGGACAAATTATTATGCCATTCTATTTAGAATAATGGTTTCAGATTTAACCGACAATGGTTTCAAATTTAACTAACAATGTTTTCAGGTTGAATTGAAAATGGATTCAGATTTAACTGACAATGGTTCAGGTTTAACCGACAATCGTTTCAGATTCAACTGACAATGGTTTAAACAAGTAGTATTTTTTACAAATTCTTAAAAAATCAATGAGTGTCTCTAAATACTAATCATTTGTATGTTAATACGCTGTAAAACCATTTCAACGAGAGTAAACATGCGACATTTTTGATGAACTCATACCTCAGACATTAGTTTGAAATTGGCATCATCTTTTTCCCTCAGCTGTTGTAGTAGTCTCACATTCTGTTCCTGCATATCCTCAAAGGCTTGACCAGTCACCTCTATCTCATTTAACAGTGCCTCCTCTTCCTAAAACAAACAAATGATTATCATTTTTTACAGAAAAACTAAAGATTTTGTCAAGCTTGTAACTGAGCTGCTTTAAAAGCTCAAATCAAAAATTGTATGCAGCACTGAAAATATAAAGAGGTCTAGATTTTACTTATCCCTTATAACATATGAGTCATACTGTACCTGTTTTTGGTTTGTAACAGTTTTCTGTAGTTCAAATATATGGTCCTCTAATTTCTTGATTTTCCTAATGGCATCATCATCTGCTAGTTTACGGCGTTCTTTTTTCTCTGCCTCCTGCATCTTACGTATGTGGGACTTCAATTCATCCATTTCCTGTTTACACTTTTTCTCTGCGGTCATCAGCTATTGAAAATTGAAAAATTGGATATAGATTAGAGAATGTTTAAGGTAAAGTGAATTAAGTCCACTGCCATTTTCCATTGCAGATGGGTTTTGAACCCTGTAGCAATCATCCGATAACAACAACAAGTAAATTTTTAAACAGATCAGCTGATGAATTTAGTATTATACGCTATAGACTTATGACTTGATAACTATCTGTAGTTCAACATATAGAACCAAGACTTAAATAATAAAAATAGCTCACCATATGAGCTAAAAATGCCAATGTTATTTTATAAAAATACATGCAGGATCAAGAGCAGAATGTCAAAATCTCACAGAAACTTTCTCTCTTGATTTCTTATTTCAAATACAACCTTAATTAAGTACCCAATAACTAGAGGTACAGCCAACATCAAGAAAATGACAATACTGAATGCAGAACCAAAAACATGATGTAGAGAACTTACAGAAACTTTGTCTCTCTGTTCCTTAGGGGCACTTTTATACATGTCTAGTAGTAGCTTCATCTCCTTGGCACTGTCTTGAGATTTCCTAAAATTGACACATATGATATATCATACCATGGACCATTGTATTGTATTTCTCAAACTATATGATAATCAGGGGGCCATTAACAGAAGCTTCATCAAGTTAAGAATTCGTTAAACCCATTGTTCTCTAACTTTGACGTCATTATATTATTATATTATTATATCCATGGTTACAACAATTGATTTACGAATTCGTAACTTTACTAAATTTCTGTTAATGACCCCCTGGTTAATAACATTAATGGTTAATGATTGCATTACTTTTTTCATAATATAGTTGTCAGAAGATGAAAAATAATGATGTTCATAAAAGACAATTAAGAGAACATATTTGGAGACATTTTATGCCATCTGCCAGCAGTCCTGAAGTTCATTATGCTAATAGTATCACATCAGGACCTTATCACACAAATAAATTAAAACCTGTGAAGGGGAACACTTTTGATCATTTAACACTTTCCTAAAACGAATCTTTTGAGTGAAACAACTCCTACATGGAACATTATTTTAAGGTACCGTAGGTGGAAAATATCCCAGGATTCTTTAGATGTCCCCATCTCCATTTGAACAAATGAATCATCAGTTGTCTATCTTTACACGGAGATAGGTCCATCTTTTCATAATGGGATTCCCTCTTTTACTTATACATGTACATGTGTTCTACTGTACTTTTCAAATTACAAAAATCACTTACTTTAATTGAGTTTTCAAATCTTTGATGATTTCTGATTCAGATTTTCCCTTCTCTCTTTCCTTCTCTTCTGTCCTTTCTTCCTCCTCTTTCTCTTTCTTGATTATAATAGGAGGCTCCTCCTCTATGTGTGGAGGGGACAATTTAATGGGCTTCTCTTCTTTGATCTCTTCTGGTTCCTTCTTTATCTCCCTTGGTTCCACTTTTATAGGAGGACAATCTTCAGATTTCAACTAAAAAGTGCATGTATATATTGTAATAGGAGGCTCCTCCTCTTAAGGTATGTGTGAAACTGCGAGAAAAAACTTTTTGAAAGACTGAAGATGAAATTATTTTTTTATGCACAAGTTAATTCAATGATTAAAACAAAATAAATTCAACAATGTCATCACTAATTGTTACAAATACTGTAAAACAATTTGCTACAATAAACATGGAGTGCTGAAAACTGATTAGAAAAATGAGGCTATAATAAAACATGTCACTATTTCTGCATAAAATGAACTATATAGAGGTTATTTAATGGGAGGTTTTTGATACAGGGTATATCTGAGGGAAATACAATATATTGATATATATATATTTAATATTGATAAATTGTATTTACCGAGGCATATACCCTGTATCAAAAATCCAGCATGTAATAACTGATTTATTCTATACTTAGTAGATTATGAGGGTTTATAGTCAAATCCCCTGACTCAGTATCTACTCTCTGAATTTGTGACATCGTAGATCTGATGAGCGGGTGATATCAGCGGGCCACTTCAGATATCAATTATATCTCAACATCTTATTTACCTATAACACTGCTAAGTATGGAATGAATTTGATTTCTACATTATTTCTTACTTTTGATATTTCAGCATTGTTATCTTTGATTTTCTTCTTGTATCTTGACATCTCTCCTTTGATCAGTTGGTGTTCATTCTGCAGACTTGTGATTAAGTTTCTCATCTCTCTGTTGATTGTGGCTACAAGAATCAGTGAAGTTCAATAGTGAGTAAGTTGAACATTATAGCAAGCAGTAAAAGCTGTCCTGAACTCAATCAGGACTGGTCAAGCGTTTGGATGATAGGGTGGCCCGGTGCTTACATTTTAAGGTGGTTTCTTAATACATGTATGTGATTCAATTTGGGATTACAAATTTGGGATGAAAGAAAAATCATTGAGTGAACACACAGGTGACCATTTCAATGTAAAATTGAATGATTCAAAGGGGTGACTTGAATAATTCAAAGGGTAAGTTGAATGATTCAAAAGGGTGAGTTGAATACTTCAAAAGGGTAAGTTGAATAATTCAAAAGGGTGGGTTGAATGATTCAAAAGGGTGAGTTGAATAATTCAAAAGGGTAAGTTGAATGATTCAAAGGTAAGTTGAATGATTCAAAAGGGTGAGTTGAATGATTCAAAAGGGTGAGTTGAATAATTCAAAAGGGTAAGTTGAATAATTCAAAAGGGCGTGTTGAATGATTCAAAAGGGTGAGTTGAATAATTCAAAAGGGTAAGTTGAATAATTCAAAAGGGTGAGTTGAATGATTCAAAAGGGTGAGTTGAATAATTAAAAGGGTAAGTTGAATAATTCAAAAGGGTGAGTTGAATGATTCAAAAGGGTGAGTTGAATAATTCAAAAGGGTAAGTTAAATGATTCAAAAGGGAAAGTTGAATGATTCAAAAGGGAAAATTAAATGATTCTAAAGGGTGAGTTGAATAATTCAAAAGGGAAAGTTGAATGATTCAAAAGGGAAAGTTAAATGATTCTAAAGGGAAAGTTGAATGATTCAAAGAGGAAAGTTGAATGATTCAAAAGGGAAAGTTGAATGATTCAAAAGGATAAGTTTGAATCAATAAAGAAACATATTTTTGAAAAGAGTAAATTGTATTCTCCATAAATATCTCCTTACTTGTTTGCTCATTGGCTGCAATGGTTTGTTCAAATTCAATACGTAGCATCTCATACTCTTTCCTCACTTGCGCCAACATATCTTCCAGTTGTATCACCTCAGTACGTAGTCTCTTCTGACATTGCAGTTCATCACTCTATAGTTAAAGCAACTTCAATTAAAACCCATATGTGCAATGAATTTCAAAAAATATATCAAAGAAAAGTAAAGTCATTAATTCAATTTACATTTCGTCTTTGCATATGGATAGTTAAATGGATAGAAAGACGCCGATACAGCTCAGTGGTCTTAATGGCCTTTAAAAGTCACATTTGACGAGAGAAGTCAGTTAACTCCATTTAAAAAATCCCCAAAATGGAGAATAATTGAAGTTTTCTAGGCAAAATAGGTCTTACTAATTCAAAGCTACCAAAATTAATTTTTTAAAACTTGCATTTGTCAAGACCACTCAGTTGGTATTTAATTCAGTTATTGTTATATGTCAAGGTCAACAATGCCCTCGCTCTAATTGTTATATGTCAAGGTCACCAATGCCCTCGCTGTAATTGTTATATGTCAAGGTCATCTCTGCACTCACCTCCATTTGCTCTATCTGCCTCAGGTGTGTGTTCTTGCTGGTTGCCATTAGTGTCTTCCCCTCCTCTAGTTGGGTCTTGATCTGCATACTCTCATTGTACAAAACAGAGAACTGGGATTGCAGACACTTGTACTCTGTTGTTTCAACTATAACGCTCTCAGGCAATTGCGAGATCTGGAGAAAATTTCTACTTTTTAATTTCTAGAACGATTTCATTCATTTTTGAAAGTAAGTTGATTATATGATTATAATGTATGAGTGAAGTGTTTTCATATGTTCCTACTATAATTTTTTCATAATTTCAATGTTCTGTTCTTCAAATTGGTCAAGTACATGTTTAGAATGGGTGACACATCACTCACTTATGTTATGCACACACCCATGTGATTTCAATAAGGTGACTGGAAGCCATGTCACATAAGAATATAACGTACAAAATACCAGGAAGGAGCAATGGTTTGATAAAGTCAAGAGACTTTAGACAAAACTTGAAATAAATTGTGACAAATCTTACTATATTTTCATGGTCTACTTACATCCATTCTAAGCTTTTCAATTTCTTTCTTAGCTTCTTGGTAGTTTTTATTGAGAGTTTCAAGTTCAGTAAGTCTGTTCTGAGCCAAGTCCTTCTGCTCTTCTAGTTCTGTTACTAACTCCTCAAACTACAAGTACAAACATTAATGAATTGTATTCAAATAATAATATTTTCTAGGGGGAAAAATAGTTAATTTTAACTTGGGAACTTGGTTCATGGAGATAAATTCTCTAAACTAGATACAGGTTTAACAAGTAGGGGTCAGAGGTAAAACTTAATTAGTTGAGTTTTTAAACAGACATTGAACTTCTGAGGCCTCCCATAAGAAATCAAGAGGAGAATGGTGTATGAAATCTCGTAAAAATAGGTCAAGAGATGCTAAAGTACCTTATTCTTTGGCACACCCTCGATGGCTTTCCCGCTTCCTCCCTCCACAATCATAGTTTTACTCTCTTTGAGACCCTTCAGCTTCTCTGTAGCTTCACTCAGGTGCATGTGCAGCTTGTCATTACGACTGGCTGTTTTCTCGTATTCATACTCTAGGTCTTCAACTTGATTTCTTAGCTCTGCAACTGCTGTCTCTGCAGCGTTGAACTTTTCTTGCAGCTCAGAGAACTGAAAAATAAATAAAATATTCTTCATTCTTCATGATTGTTTTTCAGACTTCTTTTTCATTGAAAATATTTTCTTATGTTTGAACATATAAATTATTATTTTAATGTAAACAAATACAAACAAATAAGGAAAGTAAAAAAGAAGTTTAAATAATATATCTCAAGACTTTGAAATGTTACCTAAAATACCTCGAAACTTATTTTGAGAAGTTTGAGAATGTCACATAAAATACAAATTTTATTTCAAGATGTTAATAAAATACCTCAAGACTTGTGTTGTGATGTTTTTCATGAAGCTGATTACACAAATTCTGGAGACGACGATTCTCCTCAGTTAACGTCATGATCTCCTGTTTAGTAACCTCACCAATAGATGGTGTTTCTGGTCGCTTCTCTTCCTCTTCTTTTTCATCGTCATCCTTCTTTTCTGCTTCATCACCATCATCCTTTTTGTCGTCTGAAACAGAAATGTCACAACACAATTGGAAAAGTATATTAAATAATATTAAGTTATTTCTATCAAAGCAATCCGACCACATAATGATGAATAAACTTTCCAGTGTCTGAACTATTCAAAACATTCATATTTGATCTTAAGCCTAAATTATTGCTGGACAAAGTTTTCTCATCATTTTATCAGCGTAATGTGTGCAAATTTGAAACCTTAGCTTTTCCAGAACACTGGTTTTGGTTGTCACCAACTTTTCCCAGTGGCTCTATAAGAGCTGTCTAATTAAAAGTTTTGGGTTACATTCAATGAACATGGGAAAGTACCTTCTTTATCCCCCTCTTTGACAGTGGGAGGTGGAGTGATCTCACCATCCACTTTCTCTTCAGTGACCTTGATTGATTTAATCAGCTTTTCATGACGTTGTTGCAGCCTGTCGTAACACTGGAGGATCTTTCCCATGGCCCTCATGGAGAAGTCCACCCTTTGGTGAAGACGTAGGTCAATCTCTGATTTGTCCCAAGAAGAAAGCTGGTTCAGAAATGATGTGATGCTTTCACTGGGTCCTGAAATATAACATTGGAATACAGGAAGACAGCTGGTTCAGAAATGATGTGATGCTTTCACTGGGTCCTGAAATATAACATTGGAATACAGGAAGACAGCTGGTTCAGAAATGATGTGATGCTTTCACTGGGTCCTGAAATATAACATTGGAATACAGGAAGACAGCTGGTTCAGAAATGATGTGATGCTTTCACTGGGTCCTGAAATATAACATTGGAATACAGGAAGACAGCTGGTTCAGAAATGATGTGATGCTTTCACTGGGTTCTGAAATATAACATTGGAATACAGGAAGACAGCTGGTTCAGAAATGATGTAATGCTTTCACTGGGCCCTGAAATATAACATTGGAATACAGGAAGACAGCTGGTTCAGAAATGATGTAATGCTTTCACTGGGCCCTGAAATATAACATTGGAATACAGGAAGACAGCTGGTTCAGAAATGATGTAATGCTTTCACTGGGCCCTGAAATATAACATTGGAATACAGGAAGACAGCTGGTTAAGAAATGATGTGATACTTTCACTGGGCCCTGAAATAAAACATTGGAAGTTCCCATTACTGTGTATGATTTTGGACCAGATTTTCAAATTAGTGTTTATTTAACAATTGTTTTGAAATATTCCAAATTAGGCTACCATTTATTTCAATGTGGTATTTTGCCTTATTTCAGTCAAATCAGCATCTATCTACTGATCCATGCATATAATCACTAAAGTAATTGAAACCTCAGGACTGAAAATATATACTAGATTCAGTGTGAAACCAAAGTTGTATGGGGAAGTTAAAATATATTTTTCAAGAAATCAGATTCTATAATAAGTATTCAAATTATCTACCTTCATCCTCTTCAGTGATAGTTTCAGTGTCAAATCTCTCAAGTAAAACCCTGACATCTTCATCAAATTGATTCCAATATCGGTTAACAATACAAAGTACTGCATCATCAGTTGTTTGTCTCTGCTCCAGTTGTTCAATTCTAAAAAATGGAGATATGTTATACAGGGTTGCCATAAAGTCTCTTTACAATACAAAGTCAATGTAAATCATTGTAAAGAGACTCTATGGACACCCTTTTAGCCATAAAGTCTTTTTACAATACAAAGTACTACATCATCAGTTGTTTGTCTCTGCTCCAGTTGTTCAATTCTAAAAAATGGAGATATGTTATACAGGGTTGCCATAAAGTCTCTTTACAATACAAAGTCAATGTAAATCATTGTAAAGAGACTCTATGGACACCCTTTTAGCCATAAAGTCTTTTTACAATACAAAGTACTACATCATCAGTTGTTTGTCTCTGCTCCAGTTGTTCAATTCTAAAAAATGGAGATATGTTATACAGGGTTGCCATAAAGTCTCTTTACAATACAAAGTCAATGTAAATCATTGTAAAGAGACTCTATGGACACCCTTTTAGCCATAAAGTCTTTTTACAATACAAAGTACTGCATCATCAGTTGTTTGTCTCTGCTCCAGTTGTTCAATTCTGGAAAATGGAGAATGTTATACAATACAAAGTACCACTCCATAAAATTTTCAAAAATTGATTTATTTATATAATCATTCTAAAACATTAAATATGAAAATTGTCAATGTTTTAAAAAATCCCTATAGGGTTGCAATGTGCTCAGCTCTTGAGTTGCAAAGATTGTTCTATATTAATTCAATTCTGGTTCAATTTCTAGTGATCAAATTGACCCTATGTTACTATCTTCTTACCTTTTTCTTAGTTCCTCCTCAGCTTTTTTTCTGTGTTCGATTCTTTCAACTAATTTCTTGTTCTGGAACTGGAGAACTTTCATATCCATCTCCTCCTGCAAGTTGTAAAATGAAAATTAATTGATTTTAGTCTCTGGGAATATTTAACAGGAATTGCTTCATTCGATTTTCAGCTTTGATTCTTTCATACAAAAGTCTGTATCCAAGTATTTGATGGTGTTTACATTTTTTTTATTTAATCAATTTTTCCTTGGCTGTGTCCTCTTTGGACATTAATAGCCAAATTTTAACATAGAACAAAAGGCAATTTTTGTTTCCTGTGTGTGACATTACAATTTATGTGATTCAAAACTACAGAAAAAGCAACTCCCCGCAGAGTCGGAAAATTAAGTATCAAATCCTTTTCAATTGGTATAGCCAATCTAACAACTGGAGACCAGAGAAAATGACATGTTATCTGCTACTTATGAAAGCCTTTCTACAATATGTACTTACCAATTTTTTTTTATATGGTAATCTATTTATTTCATAAATCTGATTTAACATCAAATGGCTTGCCAATCGCCAAACAGGTATTATAGGCCAAGCTTTAAGATGACAATAGCTAGGTATATCTAAAATGAGCTAATTATGAACAACATTAAGTACAATTTGGCTATCTGGGGGATTCTGGCTAAAAATAAGAATGAAGAGTGAAGAGGTGTCAGTGTACTTACCAATGATGCAATGGGTCCCAGTTGTATTGGAGCAAACTGTGTCACAGACTTTTTGGCTGGAGGTGGACCCCCTGAGCCTGATGCAGGGGGACTATCTGGTGGAGCTGCCCTCTTAGACATCTTTGAGACTCTAAAAATATGATTTAATGTATTTGTTTATCTCTTGAATTAAACACTTTAACACCTGTATCAACATTGTGTCTTTTGACAATTCCTTATTTGATGACTCGGTTCTTAACTGTTGTTGATGAATAGGTTGTGAGAGTTTTAGTACTAAGTTTCAGGGGGTCACAATATTTAGTAAAAACAGATTTGGAAGTTGAGTCCTTCATTATATAAGAGCAATGCAGAATGATCTGGTCTGAATCCCAATTGTCCCAATCCCAATGGTTCAAATTACATTGGAAACCTATTAGTCTGAAACTTAATGATCCGAGAATTAACAATTGTCGATATGATATTTTTTGAGGGACTTAGGGGGAATATCATGATCAAAAGAGTTTGCATATGTCTTAGCTCAACATATACGAGGGGTGATCCAAAAGTCTTGGATGCCCCACTCTAACAAGACTTTTGGATCACCCCTCGTATAAAACCTGCATTCAGTTCCGTTGACCAAATCTACACAAATGATGTTTCTCTCTTTATGTTCAGGTAATTGTAGGGGTTCTGTAAACACGAAAATGAGGCTTTTGACTTAAGTACACTGGATAATACATCTAATTTTAACATTCAAATTAATTGTAGACAAATTACGCATTTTGCAATGTTCTCAGCGTCCAATATCAAAATCTGTAATACATTAAAATTAAAATGTGTAGTGCGTCTCAGCTAATTGTGTATTTGCTATACAGGGTGTAAAGTATTTTTACACTGTACACAGCATTTGTAATTGTATAAATAGGCTTTGTGGAAACCCTGTAAAATTCGATAACCTGATTATAGTACTGTCGGATATGGCTTCATGGGTAGTAATCCTAGCGGGCAATGCTCAAGTTAGGATATAGACAAACTATTTGTTCATATAACATATTTAAAATTAAAATGCCTCGTAATCTTCTCAGTCAATATGGCATTACGAAAATGGGACTTCTGCGCATGTTTAAATTTTTCGTCAAAACTCAACTTTTGCTCAAGTTGATACGATTGTCTTTCGGACTAGAAACTAACCTCATTCGAAAAGATTCCAAGAGATTTTATCTAAACTGAAAATTTTAGATGCCAGCATAGTACAATATGTTGTCAGCCCTTTTTTGATTTTTTGAAGTGAGTTTGAAGATCGTCAGATTTCTCTGACTGATATAGGGTTATCTCAAATTGGTTTGTTTATAAATACGAATTTCTTTACCCTTGTAAGACACATTCGCAAAATTAATTTATAAACATGATTGGTTGATGATTTTCTCCTGAGTATGCTCGAAGTCTGAGGAACACTTATGATGAACACATGTAGTGAGTATTACTAGCTCTCGAACAAAATTCCAAGATTCAGATCATTCTGCTATGTTTGCTAAGTTAGTGTATACATGAATGACAAGCTGTTTTGAGCAGATCAGGTATGTGTTTTAGACACATCATTGATTTAGCTTGAGATTGAGGTGCACATTCACACTTTTGAGCATGTTAATACAAGTTTTTATATCCTTAGCAGGAGACAGGTTTTGAAAAATCTGTTATCTAATTCACTCGATTATCGTTATGGATATGTATTTCTACTAAATTCCACTTGTTAATTCACAGGACGTAAAAATGCACACAGTCTAGATTTTTTGTAAGGGTTGTCAGACATCGGATTGGCTGCCATATTTGAAATGAATATATCACTAAATAGAGCTTTGCGCATGGCATAACAGATCAACTGTTCGATCTAAAAGTTTTAGCCATGACAGGCATTTCATTCAAACAAGGAATAAATAAGTTCAATGGGTGTTTTACGTTTGTTTGAATATTTCAAGAGCTACAATCAGAAATAAACCCTGACATTGACTTGGCGTGGCAGCAAAGAATACTGCTCTAAAACGTTATATTTCTAATAAACATGGCCTAAACAGGGAATCCATATTATTCGATAAAAAATCAAACATCAGTGTAGTGTTTTATTCCACGTTCACACATTTCTTGCATGTCTATCTGATATCAAAATTGGCGGGTTTCGAAACAATTGGTTTCAGTCTTTAGATATTTGGGATTCAAACAAATGGGGTTTGACTCAATAGGATTCAGATGATTGGGATTCGGAAGATTGGGATTCAAATGAATGGGATCCAGACAAATACGATTCGGAAGAATGGGATTCAGTCGACTGGGATTCTGACCGATGAGATTCGGACTGTTGGGATGTAATAATTGGGATTCGGACCAGTGGGCCGACCCCATTCTAAGTGGGCTAGAATGAATAATGATAAAATATTGAAAATCAAATTCAAAAATCATGTAAAAAAACTAAAATGCAACAAATCTTAAATTTGATGGAAATATCTTCATTTTCGCAGGGTTCAATGTAAAATTATCATAATGCTGCACCCTAAAGCATACAATAATGATGGAATAGTAATATACTTACCAAGAAATTGCCTGAAAAGAGACCCAAATTTGTTAATTTTGCTTTTCACCAAAGCGAAAGTTCCCCGGATGTAAAGTGAATCGCCAAAAATTATTTTATTCTCATTATATAGTTCACACTACATAATTGATTTGAAATCATGTTCCCTGTTACTATTTTACTTTATTTCATTTTCTATAATTATTGTATAACATGTGCATGTAACTGTCTTATTCTAGACGCAAATAAATAATACATACATACATATATTATTGACAAGAATATAGCAGTGATACACAGTTTGAAGTACAAACTATTTCCACACGATAATAGTTTGTCTTTATGTATAATATCAAGTAGTTATATGTCACGTTAATTAAATAAAGAGAGGAAAAAGTAAAATGCAATCAAAAAATACGTGGTGTGTCATGACAGCCTAACAAAATGTCCAGAATGTCGAAAGAAGACGATTTAGAGTTCAACCCATTTTATGAAGCGTTACAGGTAAATGTTATGAATATAATTTATGCAGGACTAGCGGTTAGATGCTAGTTTGTGATTTAGCTGTGCTAGTAGAGACTGGTACCTCACTTTGTTCTCATTTTCAAGTTCCTGTGTTCACTCTCAGTTTCACCGTTTCAGTCGAGTTTAGCCTACAGTTGGGGACATAAATAAATGACAGGTGGATTTGCTGAAGTGAGGATTTCCCATGTTAAAAATAAGAGAATTTACAAGAGGCCATAAATCAGTGGATGAGATTATACAAAATGTAAAATATACAAATTTTAAGGGATATGTATCTAGACAATATTGGAAATTATGGGCTTTCAGACCACCATAATTAGGAAATGGTGATCAAAAATCGACCTGTCATTTATTTTTGTCCCCAACTATAGATTTCACTAAACGGTAGCCTGTAAGTGTAGTTAGTAACTTTCATGTGTATCGTTGAGTCGCCAAATTGAGTGAATAAGACTACATATAGTAAGAGTGCATATAGGTGCTTTTTGCACCTGGTTTGATTTTCTGGTTTGATTTTTCAAGTATGCGCAAAAGCTTTCTATAATATTGCACTATCCATTTTATCATCAGCCTAAGCCTACTAAAGTGACATCTGTCAAATATAAACCAGATGCATAATATGGACCATCTTTCAATTGTAATTTCGGGTTGAACATGGTACCCACCACTCTGGTTACAATAGCAACCATATCTCAAGAACCAATCAAAATTGAGGTCCCAAATTTTACCATATAATGTATAAATATATAACACATATGTGTACCAAGTTTCATTGTGAAAGTCCTATTTTCCTCGAAGTTATGGAATCAACTGCAAAACTTTTTGAACCACCTAAGTATATCTGGCTACTGGCTGCACTGAGCAGCTGACAAATAATATCTACCTTTCCTCAAAGTAGCATTATATTTTATTTATATTGTTTTAGGATAAATATGGAGGTTTCTTCAAAAGAGCTCAAGATAAACAGTTCCTTATCTGCATCCCAAGGTCATCATTGCTGAAGAACTCTATCATGAATGCTGCATTTATAGGTATGGGATATATATTGATGAAAATACAATAAAGCCTGTCTTAGTGAACGCCTCTCTATAGTGAACACCTGTCTGTAGTAGACACCCTCAGCACATACTGTATTGACTTTTGCATTAATTACTATCTCTGTAGTGAAAACCTACTGTATGTACCAATACTGAACGCTTTTTCTCGTAAAAAAAAATGTTCAATATAATTAGGTTTTACTGTGATTTGAAAGCTGAAGAAAGCTTCAAAGAATGTTATTTTATAAATTTGTATAATTTTTTTAATTTTAGTCAATATCGAGGAAAAGAGTTTTTAGAAAAATTGTCAAAAATAAGGATTTGGTAAAATAAGGAATTTTCAAAAATCAAAATTTTTGATTTCCTCAAAGCCAATTTTAGGAAAACATATTTGACTAGTTTTTACCAATTTTTTTTATAAAAGTCCAAGAGCTAAGATTTGTTAAAGTCCCCGTATAAAGTTTAAACCACTTTGGCTCTTATTGTAGTCACCCAATGTTATCAAAGTGTGATATGTGAAACTTTTTTTTTAAATTTCAAAAAGTGGTTTTTGATAGACTTTTTGTTCCAAATTTTGTAAATTTATTTAAAACTAACTTTTAGAGGTCACACATACAGGATGACCGGAAAAAAAGGAGACCATTGAAGTAATCAATTTCTCCTAAACTAGACAAGTGCCATCAATGAAATTTTGCATACACTGGAACAGTTATATGGAAATTTGTTACTGAAGGTTTCAATACAAGCATTCAACTGGTTCAGGAGCTATGATCATTTACATAACATGCTCCAAATAGGCACAATTGAGACCAACGCAGAGTTGGATTCATATGGCAAACTACCCTTACATGTTCTGCCCTCTATGGCATTATTATGGCATTACATATAGCAGTGATTGCCTTCTTTAGGTCAACAATAGTCTGAGGATTGTTTTGGTATAGATTGTCTTTCAAATATCCATACAAAAAGAAATCAGCAGGATTCAAGTCTAGGCTGTAATGGCAATGAAGGGTTATCTGACATGTGGTTCATCATCCTGTTGCCAAAGTGCTGATTTACCCAATCTTAAGAGTCACTTTAGGTATTGGGCATAGTGCCATGTTACTAAAACCACTATATGGCACAATTAAATCCCATATGGAAACCAAGGGCTGCCCAAAACCTCCTTAGGATGATACTGTAACTGAGTGGGACCACTGAGTCAGAAGCCATAGGTCAGATAAGCTTCGTCTCCATACACCTCAAATTTGAATCCACCTGATTTCTTTTTGGTGGGCAATTTGAAAGACAATGTGTACCAAAACAATCCTGAGACAATTGCTGACCTAAAGGTGGCAATAAATGCTAAATGTAATGCCATAACAAGGTCGGAATATGTAAGGGTATTTGCCAAATGTATCCAGCTCTGCGTTGGTCTCAATTGCACCTATTTGGAGCATGTTATGTAAATGATCATAGCTCCTGAACCAGTTGACTGCTTGTATTGACACTTTCAGGAACAAATTTCCATAGAACTGTCCTGATGTATGCAAAATTTCATTGATGTCACTAGTCTATTTTAGGAGATATTGCCTATTTCAATGGTCTCCTTTTTTTCCGGTCACCCTGTATCTTTTAATTAGCAACAATTCATACCAATGCATAGCATTCATCCTCGCATGTTTCTTGACGAAAAAATAAAGAAAATCGGTTCATAAATAAGCGAGAAATGAACTTATCAGTGCATGAAAATGGTTCCGAGAAAAATGCATTTCAAAATTTTAGTTCTCATAGAAACCAATGGTACAATGATATCTAAAACATAATATATTCTTCCTTTTAACCTGGTTAGACAATCAACATTGGTTGACTATTGAAGTCTAGCATATTGAGAAAAGATTGACATCAAAAAAAAATTTCAATTTTTTTTCAAAAAGTTTTTGGTACCTTAGTGACATCACTAATGTTTCAAAATATATTTGATATGCTAAATCATTGAAGTTGCCCATTTAATATAGCAATTTATTATTGAAATAGTGTGTCCTTTGTTCAATCTTTGCATTGGTGTTAAAAAGATAATCTTTTTTGAAGTGCATTAAGAAATATTTGATGATTAAAAAATTTCAACTTTTTTTGAAAAATGGCGGGAAATTTGAATATTTGAGAAATGAAATGCTCACAACTTTTTTTGAAAAAAAATTTTTTTTTTCAAAGATCTCTAAAATAACTTGTTAAGTCATTACAAATAGTAAATGAATGATAAAAAAATATTTTCAAACTTTAGACGGGGACTTTAAGGAAAATATAACCGACACAGTTCCAGAGATAACAATACTTAGAAATACATTAAGGACAAGAGAATCATTAATTTTCTTGAAAATTCTGATATTAGTGTGACCTAATATCAGTCAAGTTTTAGATAACCTGAATACCTTCTTACTATGACCTCAAAGTATAATCAGTTGATATTAAACTATTTCTTGTATTCTATTCAAATTCTATCACTGTTAAACTATATATCTGCTTAAAATGGGCTTGTTGGCCTTTTGCAGATTATTGATGTAGATGGAACAAAACTCACTCTGCCATATTTATGGATTATGACAAACTCTTCAGTCCTGGATTGTGATAATGGAACTTGAATGATGGGGGGGGGGGTATTTGACACTATTTCTTTTAACGTTGGACTACAGTCTTGCTCATAAGACCCAGAATCCGTTCTCTTCTGATCATCTTCTCTCACCAGGTACAAAGAAGAGTATAAACACTCCAGAATGACATTGGGGGAGGGGTACTCAGTCTTGAACCAAGACTAGATTATGGTTTGGGATAGTTAAAGTTTGTTTTTCTTATGACTTAGGTGTACATTTAGATGTTTTCTTTTTCTTGCTGGGCTATATGTGTGTACATATGTACATGTATATGCATAAGATATGTAGTGTACATTTTGTATACTCTCATTCACTGATGTATGGTGTACATGTACGTATGTTTCTTTCCAGAGAGTCATATTTTCCGCCCATCGCCATTCTTCCAAGGCCAGTACCTAACTACAGATAAGGCTAGCAAAGGCACTATAGAGTACGAGAATGGAGTCATCAAAACTATTGAAGGTAACTTTATACAATCATTTTCCTGATCAAAATAAATTAAAAAATTTAGTTGCTAGTTGTTTAATAATGTTTTTATGTCATCTCAAGAAGCGGTGACATATTGTTAAGTCTCCAACTTTTTATTGACAGTGTTTGGCATATGGCAGTTGGTATCTGGCAGTCAGCGTTCGGAGTCTGTAAAAAATGGCAGGTGGTGACATTTTGCTTTTTAATATCATGTTTACCATTTAAATAGTGATATAATGTTTTTAAATTATTTATCATGTTTTAGGGTTCCCAAAGGATGTAACTGCAAAGGTGCTATATGAAGAAACAGGATACAACAAGGTACATCTACTTGCATGTTTCCATTTTAAACTACTATTTTACATGCTGTTATTGAGTAGATATTACAATGAAGTATACTTACTTGCACTACACTCTGAGCCAACACTGCCACTTTAAATAAATGTGCCATGTTGATGTGTTTTTCCCCAAATTTTTTTCTCATCTGTCATTCTTAATTTCACAATCCTAGCCTAAGTTGGCCAAAATATGCTGATTTTAACATTTTTCTCATTTCAAAGGGTGCACAAAATTTTCAAAATCTCAAAAGTGCAATGCTCATTTGCTATATCACTGCCAAAATCTACTTCTAATTAACCAAATACCATAGAGCCTAGCTGAAGTTTTTTGTTAGCTTTTTTCAATACTTTGTAATAAATATTTTGGTAACAATTTGAAATTGTTTAGGTCATAAAATATATTTGTATAATTGTTTCAAACTTGTTTGTTTCCAGGACTACAAGCCATTCTCAATTCTATTAATAGACCAGCTTCTAGTGGCACCGCCAAAGGCAAGTAAAACACTATATATCAGAGACAATGAATTTTAAAACATACAGTTGCTGTTAAGTCTTAGCAATTTTTGAATTTGTAATGTGCAGATGGTTGTCCTATTTTTTGAAATCAATTCATTTCTTGGCAACAGTTGCTTCTTGCCAAAACTTTGGTTTAGCATTGTAAAATATGTACTTTTTTAGATTAAGTTGTTGAAACTTCAGTAGAAACTTTGTCTTCACTTTTCAAAGTTTATATTGATAAATCAAACATTATGCACCAGTACATCTTTATTTTGGCAATTTTAGTAATTTTTATGTTCTTGTTATCATATGAGATAAATTCTAATCTCTTAATATATTCGTATATGGGCAATTGTAGGTCTCTAAATCTCCAATATATTTTAGGTTTTTAAATCTTCATTACATTTATAGGTCTCTAAATCTCCATTATATTTATACGCCTCTATATCTCCATTATATTCATAGTTCTCTAAATCTCAATTATATTTATAGTTCTCTAAATCTTCATTATATTTATAATTCTCTAAATCTTCATTATATTTATAGGTCTCTAAATCTGCTGCAGACAATGCTGAGGATGTCTTACATTTGAAAACATCATTCATTGAGTAAGTCATGTTTGTTTTCCTAATTGCACAAAACTACATGTTTTACTTAGTCTATGGGAAATCATTCCAGTCTTTTGTTATTGAAAACTGCCTTGATAATTTTATATAATGAGTCTACATTTAGGTAATTTGTGGATTATAATCTTTAAAAAGCTACATATCATTGTTTAGTTTGTTAGCAATGTATTTTGAAATTATTGCATTGTACATGTGCATACAATAAAACCTGTAAAGTGGTGCACCTCTGCTAGTGAAACACTTTTCAGTGTCCCAAGACCAACTGAATTAATGTTAAATGAACCTCTATAAGTAGTCAGGTTTGAATAGGAGATAAGTTCACAGAATATTTCAAAAATATATAGAAGCTATCTTTAGGTGGATTTCAAAACTTCATACCATCCTTTTGAGAACCTGAAGTGGCACCAAGCAATCCATTGACTGTTTCACCAAAAATCCAAGATGGCCGCCACAATGTATCGGCAAATCACTAAAATTGACTAATATCATCATTTAATTTGTCAAAATAGTTAAATACTGTTCAAACATGACTAATAATAGTAACTATTAGATGGTCATATGCATTTAAAGTCACTAGATTATTTTTGTGTGAAAACTGGAGTCCCACAAGGCTCAACTTTATGTCCCCTACTTTTTTAGTCCAATGACTTTCATTGACCATGGCATTTGTACATTGCAAGGTATAGAAATCCATTTTTGTAACATGAGCACCTAGGACCACATTTCACCTTGCACCCACACTTGACCAATGCTTGGCATGCCTTAGCTGCTTGAGGAAGGGCTGTACTTAGTGGCATCAGGAGTCATACTGCCAGCCACATGTTGTGAACTCGATAACAATTTTGGTTATGGCACCAAACTATACCGCCTTGGTTAGCAAGTTAAGATTTTCTGCAAGGGCTCCTTTTGTTGGTGGTATTTGTCAATGACTGTATGACCATTACAGAACATTAGCCTTCATGCTGCATTGATATCTATCTGGTTGCTGGTTCGATCATATAATAAAACAGTAAAATGTTCCAGGGACTGAATGGCTTGAACTGACAAAAACAGGTTTGTTGTAACCATTTGTGCCAAATATAGAAAAGCTGGAGTAACTTCCTTGAACACATTCCATAGCTTGAAGGGCAGATTTTTTGCTATGGCCTAAAAGAATAGTGCAGTTATAATATATAATATAATTTAATACCTGTAATTTTTTATTTTGAGAGGTCCGAAGGCTGTCCAGATTGACACCTATTGCATTGCACCCTAATGCAGCAGCCATGGCAAGAAAATGGACATCAGTGTCTCCACTTCTGATTATGAAGTATTTCTATCCTCTGAGGTCATCTGTTTTATTTGAACAAAGAGCCTAGTGTCAGCTTTTTCATGAGTACAAGGTTCAATCATTGCTGTATCTGGCAATTGAGGAAAGCACTGAAGAGATTCCCAAATAGTAGCTATCATTTGCTTTTCATTAACATCAACCTCAGACATAAAGTTGGCCAGGAATGCAAACAGCCTAGTCTGGCTCCATTGGTTGTTAGAAAGGCTGGCCAATTCTTTGGCATTTGTGCATCTTTGCATAAATCATCCTTCTAGCACTAGTGCCACGATAAATCCTTGTTAGAGACTTCTCACTGTTTTGTATGTAAACATTCCAGACAACATCTAATCTTGGAACACCTTCCATAAGCTGCCTTAACTTGGGATGAGACACCAGAAAGGAGCAGTCTATTAAAACTGCATCTGCAGTTGGCTTTTCCAATACTTTGGGTCCATCTGGCTTAGTTTCTAGGCATTTAAGTAGGTCATTTAGTTGTAGGTCTCATGGCTCCATGCTTAGCTAGGAATGGCGGGAACTCATGGTTTTCATGTTTGAAAAACTCAGACATGTTATGTGTCTTGATTGTCAAAGGCAAATATAGAGCATAGCAAAAAGGTAATTTTCTTCTCTCAGTTCCTTGACCTCAGGAATCACTGCAGATGATGCTTTGTTTTTTTCTCCCTAGATCACACCAACCATGCATGCAAGTGAATCCTTAAGTCAAGGATCTGAGACATGATTATGACCTTTTTGCTATTACTCTACATTGCATGCCAATCAAGACACAATGACATGTCTGAGTTTTTGAAATATGAAAACCATGAGTTCCCACCATCCCTACATAACCACGGAGCCATGAGACCTACAACAAAAGCAGACTTACTTAAATGTCAAGAAGCTAAGCCAGATGGATCTGAAGTATTGGAAAAGCCACCTGCAGATGCAATTTTAATAGATGGCATCCTTCTGGTCCATGTGATGCATCCTGGTGTGGCAACCAACTTCCAAGAATATGGTACCAATGTCTCATCCCAAGTTAAGGCGTCCTATGGAAGGTGTTTCAAGATAAGATGTTATCTGGGATGTCTACCTATAAAACAGTAGGAAGTCCCTGACAAGGACTCATTGTGGCAATGGGTGGTTTATGCAGAGAATGTGATGCCCCAGAATTGGTTAGCCTTTCTAAGAAACAACCAGAACAAAACTGAACTGTTAGCATTCCTGGCCAACTCTATTTTTGAGGTTGATGTTTATGACTATTGTGGAATCTGTTGAAGTGCTTTTCTCAGTTGCCAGTTACAGTAATGATTGAACCTTGTACTCATGAAGAAGCTGATACTACACTAGACTCTTTGTTCAGGTAAAACAGATGACCTCAGAGGGTAAAAAAGACATTCATAATCAGAATCAGCGGAGATAATGGTGTAGTTGTTCTTGCAATGGCTGCCGCATAAGGGTGCAATAAGTGTCAATTTGGATTGCCTTCTGACCTCTCAAAAATACAGGTATTAAATTATATTATATAACTGCACCATTCTTTGGCCAATAGCAAAGAATCTGCCCTTCAAGCTATGGAATGTGTTCAAGGAAGTTACTCCAGCTTTTCTACAAGTAGCACAAATGGTTACAACAAACCTGACTTTGTCAGTTCATGCCATTCAGTCCCTAAAACGTTTTACTGTTCTAGTATATGATCGAACCAGCAACCAGATAGATATCAATGCAGCACGAAGGCAAATATTCTGTGATGGCCATACAGTCATTGATAGAATGCCACCGACAAAAGGAGCCCTTGCACAGAAAATTTTAAGAACTTGCTAACCAAGGTCGTATTGTTTGAGGCCAACTGTACAATCTCAATCCAACATGGGTATCGGAGTTCACAACATGGGGCTGGCAGTATGACATGTCCCTCCTGGTGCCACTATATACATCCCTTCCTCAAGCAGCATGCGAAGCATTGGTCAAGTGTGGGTGCAAAGTGAAATGTGGTCCTAGGTGCACATGTTACAAAAATGGATTTCTATGCATTGCTATGTGCAAATGCCATGGTCAATGCAGAAAAGTAGCGGACATAAAATTGAGCCTTGTGGGACTCCAGTTTTCACACAAAAATGATCCAATGACTTTAAATGGATATGAACTTCTTATAGGTACTGTTATTAGTCATGTCTGATCAGTATACAACTATTTTGAATCATTAAATCATAACTTTAGTCATTTTTTATAATTTTTTGATACATAGCGGCGGCCATCTTGGATTTTCGGTGAAAAAGTCAATGGATCGATTGGTGCCACTTCAGGTTTTCAAAACAATGGTATGAAGTTTTGAAATCAACCTTAAAATTGCTTCTATATATTTTTGAAATATTTTCACCTAAATATTCCTGTCAGGTTTGAATAGGAGATAAGTTCACAGAATATTTCAAAAATAAATAGAAGCTATCTTTAGGTGGATTTCAAAACTTCATACCATCCTTTTGAGAACCTGAAGTGGCACCAAGCAATCCATTGACTGTTTCACCAAAAATCCAAGATGGCCGCCACAATGTATCGGCAAATCACTAAAATTGACTAATATCATCATTTAATTTGTCAAAATAGTTAAATACTGTTCAATCATGACTAATAATAGTAACTATTAGATGGTCATATGCATTTAAAGTCACTAGATTATTTTTGTGTGAAAACTGGAGTCCCACAAGGCTCAACTTTATGTCCCCTACTTTTTTAGTCCAATGACTTTCATTGACCATGGCATTTGTACATTGCAAGGTATAGAAATCCATTTTTGTAACATGAGCACCTAGGACCACATTTCACCTTGCACCCACACTTGACCAATGCTTGGCATGCCTTAGCTGCTTGAGGAAGGGCTGTACTTAGTGGCATCAGGAGTCATACTGCCAGCCACATGTTGTGAACTCGATAACAATTTTGGTTATGGCACCAAACTATACCGCCTTGGTTAGCAAGTTAAGATTTTCTGCAAGGGCTCCTTTTGTTGGTGGTATTTGTCAATGACTGTATGACCATTACAGAACATTAGCCTTCATGCTGCATTGATATCTATCTGGTTGCTGGTTCGATCATATAATAAAACAGTAAGATGTTCCAGGGACTGAATGGCTTGAACTGACAAAAACAGGTTTGTTGTAACCATTTGTGCCAAATATAGAAAAGCTGGAGTAACTTCCTTGAACACATTCCATAGCTTGAAGGGCAGATTTTTTGCTATGGCCTAAAAGAATAGTGCAGTTATAATATATAATATAATTTAATACCTGTAATTTTTTATTTTGAGAGGTCCGAAGGCTGTCCAGATTGACACCTATTGCATTGCACCCTAATGCAGCAGCCATGGCAAGAAAATGGACATCAGTATCTCCACTTCTGATTATGAAGTATTTTTATCCTCTGAGGTCATCTGTTTTATTTGAACAAAGAGCCTAGTGTCAGCTTTTTCATGAGTACAAGGTTCAATCATTGCTGTATCTGGCAATTGAGGAAAGCACTGAAGAGATTCCCAAATAGTAGCTATCATTCGCTTTTCATTAACATCAACCTCAGACATAAAGTTGGCCAGGAATGCAAACAGCCTAGTCTGGTTCCATTGGTTGTTAGAAAGGCTGGCCAATTCTTTGGCATTTGTGCATCTTTGCATAAATCATCCTTCTAGCACTAGTGCCACGATAAATCCTTGTTAGAGACTTCTCACTGTTTTGTATGTAAACATTCCAGACAACATCTAATCTTGGAACACCTTCCATAAGCTGCCTTAACTTGGGATGAGACACCAGAAAGGAGCAGTCTATTAAAACTGCATCTGCAGTTGGCTTTTCCAATACTTTGGGTCCATCTGGCTTAGTTTCTAGGCATTTAAGTAGGTCATTTAGTTGTAGGTCTCGTGGCTCCATGCTTAGCTAGGAATGGCGGGAACTCATGGTTTTCATGTTTGAAAAACTCAGACATGTTATGTGTCTTGATTGTCAAAGGCAAATATAGAGCATAGCAAAAAGGTAATTTTCTTCTCTCAGTTCCTTGACCTCAGGAATCACTGCAGATGATGCTTTGTTTTTTTCTCCCTAGATCACACCAACCATGCATGCAAGTGAATCCTTAAGTCAAGGATCTGAGACATGATTATGACCTTTTTGCTATTACTCTACATTGCATGCCAATCAAGACACAATGACATGTCTGAGTTTTTAAAATATGAAAACCATGAGTTCCCACCATCCCTACATAACCACGGAGCCATGAGACCTACAACAAAAGCAGACTTACTTAAATGTCAAGAGGCTAAGCCAGATGGATCTGAAGTATTGGAAAAGCCACCTGCAGATGCAATTTTAATAGATGGCATCCTTCTGGTCCATGTGATGCATCCTGGTGTGGCAACCAACTTCCAAGAATATGGTACCAATGTCTCATCCCAAGTTAAGGCGTCCTATGGAAGGTGTTTCAAGATAAGATGTTATCTGGGATGTCTACCTATAAAACAGTAGGAAGTCCCTGACAAGGACTCACTGTGGCAATGGGTGGTTTATGCAGAGAATGTGATGCCCCAGAATTGGTTAGCCTTTCTAAGAAACAACCAGAACAAAACTGAACTGTTAGCATTCCTGGCCAACTTTATTTTTGAGGTTGATGTTTATGACTATTGTGGAATCTGTTGAAGTGCTTTTCTCAGTTGCCAGTTACAGTAATGATTGAACCTTGTACTCATGAAGAAGCTGATACTACACTAGACTCTTTGTTCAGGTAAAACAGATGACCTCAGAGGGTAAAAAAGACATTCATAATCAGAATCAGCGGAGATAATGGTGTAGTTGTTCTTGCAATGGCTGCCGCATAAGGGTGCAATAAGTGTCAATTTGGATTGCCTTCTGACCTCTCAAAAATACAGCTATTAAATTATATTATATAACTGCACCATTCTTTGGCCAATAGCAAAGAATCTGCCCTTCAAGCTATGGAATGTGTTCAAGGAAGTTACTCCAGCTTTTCTACAAGTAGCACAAATGGTTACAACAAACCTGACTTTGTCAGTTCATGCCATTCAGTCCCTAAAACGTTTTACTGTTCTAGTATATGATCGAACCAGCAACCAGATAGATATCAATGCAGCACGAAGGCAAATATTCTGTGATGGCCATACAGTCATTGATAGAATGCCACCAACAAAAGGAGCCCTTGCACAGAAAATTTTAAGAACTTGCTAACCAAGGTCGTATTGTTAGAGGCCAACTGTACAATCTCAATCCAACATGGGTATCGGAGTTCACAACATGGGGCTGGCAGTATGACATGTCCCTCCTGGTGCCACTATATACATCCCTTCCTCAAGCAGCATGCGAAGCATTGGTCAAGTGTGGGTGCAAAGTGAAATGTGGTCCTAGGTGCACATGTTACAAAAATGGATTTCTATGCATTGCTATGTGCAAATGCCATGGTCAATGCAAAAAAAGTAGCGGACATAAAATTGAGCCTTGTGGGACTCCAGTTTTCACACAAAAATGATGACTTTAAATGGATATGAACTTCTTATAGGTACTGTTATTAGTCATGTCTGATCAGTATACAACTATTTTGAATCATTAAATCATAACTTTAGTCATTTTTTATAATTTTTTGATACATCGCGGCGGCCATCTTGGATTTTCGGTGAAAAAGTCAATGGATCGCTTGGTGCCACTTCAGGTTTTCAAAACAATGGTATGAAGTTTTGAAATCAACCTTAAAATTGCTTCTATATATTTTTGAAATATTTTCACCTAAATATTCCTTACTAAAGTAGAACACCGCCCAAGTTGAACACCTCTGTGAGTGGAACACTTTCAGAGTCCAAGACCAACTGAATTAATGTTAAATGAACCTCTATAAGTGGAACACCTCCAAAGTACAACACCTTTGTGAGTAGAACACTTTCAGAGTCTAAGACCAACTCACTAATGTTGAATGAACCTCTATAAGTAGAACACTTTCCAAGTGGAACACTTTTTAAAGATGCCAAAGGTGCTCTGCTTAGACAGGGTTTTCTTTATGTACATTATGTAAATACCTTGTAAATATGCAGTACTTTAGTTATGTACTTTATGCTGTAGTGTACATATCAGTGTGTTTAAAACGCTCTTTAATTTCAGGTGCAAAACATTCTTGATGTCATTCAAGGAGCATGTCAACATTCTTGCAAACATAAATGATGAAATTCACCAGTTCAATACCAATTACATGATTCTCCCTGGTTACCTTGACGACGTTGAAACAAGATTGGCTAGCATGTGTAGTAGAGCAACCAAAGTAAGTTATGCTCCCTTTAAGTCAATATCAATTACATGATTCTCCCTGGTTACCTTGACAACATTGACACAAGATAAACAAACACATTAACTGATGTAAGAGCAGCCAAAGTAAATTATGCTCCCTCTTAGTCAATACTAATTACATTGTTCTCCCTGGTTACCTTGACGATGAAAGAAGCAAGAGTAGCCATTACAGCAACCAAAAGTGTTTAGGCTGCCTAATTTCCTGGCCTCTGGCAATCTCTAGCATCAATTTTTTTCAAGATTGACTAGCATGTGTAGTAGAGCAACCAAAGTAAGTTATGCTCCCTTTAAGTCAAAACCAATTACATGATTCTCCCTGGTTACCTTGACAAAGTTGAAACGAGATTGCCCTGTTAACTTTATTGCTTGCCAAGTTCACTTAGGTTTGGAATAATTTAGAATAAATAAGCAAATGAAGTGCATTGAGAATCCAAAGACACAATAGCCAGAAAATTAATAACATTTAAAAAAAGTTGGAATATATTTCTTTGTTGTTTTAGGCAATATGTAAAGCCAACAAACATCCAAAGAAGCATGACAAGAGATTTCAAGATAATATTTCAAATTCAGTTGAAAGGTGAGACAAGTGTGTAAATGTTGAATAGATACGTGTGATTCATCTTGTGTTTTCTCATGAAATGATTTCCAAATAAATATCTAGTGTGAAAACTATTTGATATTCCACTCAAACATAATGTGTTGGATTGTTTTCACAAAGATGTCTCCAGCAATGTCATATTTTTGTTTGGATGATCATATATCCTTTAACACCCTTTTTTGAAATGAGAATTGATCAAATAATGAGAATATATAGTTCCACTATTTTATGAAATTGATTTGACCAAATTTTATGCCAGGCATAAATTTTGAAACAAATTTTATGCCGGGCATAAATTTTGGAACAAATTTTATGCCTGGCATAAAATTTGGTCAAATCAATTTCATAAAATAGTGGAACTATATATTCTCATTATTTGATCAATTCTCATTTCAAAAAAGGGTGTTCTTTGTATTATTTGATTGAGTCCCTTCCAGTGAATATCAAACATGGACATTAAGCCAGGCATGAGGCAGCCATGATCTTACATATACATAGGCATTTTCCAATTGAAAATTTTTCAACTGAAACTTTATTCATCACTTGAAGCTAAAACGAGCCTCTTCCAGTTAACTTTCCTCGCCTGTTTTAAAACTGACATCACCCTTGATTAACCTCAACGTCTTTATATTCCTCTTGGTATGAGGCGACATGTTCTAACATATACATAGGCATTTTCCAATTTAACATTTCTCAACTGAAACTGTAATGCGTCACTTTAAGCTAAAACGAACCTCTTACGGTTAACTTTCCTTCCCTGTTTTAAAACCGACGTCACCCTTGATTAACCTCTTATTCATGTCTATGTATTCCTCTTGCAGTTACATCGTTGGAAGTGTTCACCATAAGGTGTTTCCTGTCATACGTGATGAATTAAAAGCCAAAGATGCAGCATTAGCCAATAGGATCTCCTCACTAGATGGAGTTACTGGTGACCAGCTTGGAATACGTGATGAATTTATTTGCCCATTGCCTGAATCTGTAAGTTTTAAAAATTGTAAAAAGAAGTTTATTTCACTAGTGGGAGCATTGAATGACGATTTCATGAGTGAAAAAAATAAGTCCAAGGCGCTCATTTACAAATTCCATTGTATGGGAGAGGGAGGGGTAAGGGGCAAAGTATTAATGTTATCACACTTTCTGTATCTCTATAGTCAATACTTGTGTTACAAAGGGGTTAAAGTATTATAAAATTAACTTCACTCTTTCACTGCTGTTGGCAACAAGACAGACCCACCCAACTGCAAGTTGTGCCATTTTTAGATACTCTTCAGGCCCGTAGGCAGGATTTGCCAAAGGAGGGGTTCAGTTTTCAAAAATTTCCAGGGGGTTCACATTTGACAATTTTGGCCCAAATATGGCTAAAATCACTTGAGAAGTGCTCAAAATGGTGAAAAACTGCATGATTTTGAAAGAATTTTTGGCCAGGGGGGGGGTTCGCCCGAGCTACAGGCCTGCTCTTGACTATACTAACTCAACATTGTTTTGAACTTCTGAAGTTCTGTATTGTTTTATTTGATCTTTTTAGTTAATCAATAACAAAAACCATTGAAGAATTTTATAATGTTATAGATTAAAATTACAATGTGTGAATGTTATGTACAGTAAAACCTTGTAAGTGGAACACACATTTGGAACCTCAAAATAGTGTTCCACTTCAGAGATGTTCCACTTACATAAGTTCATTTTGCTTAAAGTAAATGAATTCCAGGGCACCCAAAAGTGTTCCACGTATGGAGGTGTTCCACTTGAAGATGTGTTTTACATAATGTAGAGGTGTTCCACTTATGTAGGTGATGCACTTGCAGAGGTGTTCCACTATAAAGATTTTACTGTATATTTGCAGGTTGTAGAACTGGCCAACCTAGATAACTTGACCACGCCCTTGGAGAAACTCATGGCTCTAAAGACAACTATTGTAAGTAATAAGAACACTTGGCTTGCATAAAAGAGCCTCAACACAGGAAAACGGGTCTTATTATTAAGGTTAAAATTGTGCTACAGAGCCACAATATGCGCCTAAGATTACGAGGAAAATTGTGCTACAGAGCCACAATATGCGCCTAAGATTACGAGGAAAATGTGCTAAATTCTAATCTGTCTTTTTAGGTCTATATCTGCGAGGAAAATTGTTAAGACATAAGCCATGACTCTGCTTTTTAAGATAAACAAAAAAATCAAAATATAGAAAAAATCTGTGATAAGACCCTTTTACTGTGCCCTGCCTCAAATATTATCATGCTTATATTTTGTATGGTTTAATGATTTAAACTCTCTGAAATTTATTATGAATCACTACTTATGTTATATATTTTATTTTACATTTTACAATACTGGACCTCCCAGTATTGAAAACCTATTGTCTCACTGTGGAGGAACTCATGAAGCGAGTTACGAAAACGGATACGTTTTCGTGTCGAGTATTTCTTTTCAGAGAGTTAAGTGTTTTACAGAAGCTGATAAGAAATGTACTTTGACAAACACTATTCTTTCATTTACTTATTGTTTTTCATCAGTATCATAAAAGTCTAGAACTAGCGATACAGCTCTTCAAAATCTTGCAACCCTTGCGGTGGATCTTTCATTGTACATCATAACTCGTCATCCGCATCACTAGTTACAGTGGTTCCTGTTGGTTTCTAGACAACTCATCCCAAGACAACTCATCCCAAGACAAGTCATCCCTAAGACAACTCATCCCAAGACAAGTCATCCCTAAGACAACTCATCCCAAGACATCTCATCCCAAGACATCTCATCCCAAGACAACTCATCCCAAGACATCTCATCCCACTAGTATACTTTAATAAGTCCTCTATATTATATATATCATTTTTTTATTTTTACGATTACAAATTGATATTTGATTATACTCTCAATCTAAGTATTGATAATTTTTAGCATTTCGAAATGGCACTTGAAAGTTATGTCCTACTTTTACGTCCCGGTATAAGACATAATTTCCAAATTCAATCATCATGATTCTGAAAGTTTAAAATTGGAAATCTTATTAAAGAATAAGCCAAATATGACATATTGGAATTAAGCAAAATATTTTAAAACAAAGACTGAATTAATCTGGGGGAATTATTCTGATAATACCCCAGATAATACATTCTTATTGCGTTAATCCTAATTTGACACCTTTGATGATCTTTGATTTAATAATCAAAGTATATATTAATTTGAACATGTTTATCTTTATCCCAATCGATCAATAAAATTAACTAAAGCTAGACTAAACTAACTCAAAATACAAAAGATATTCCAGGGTCAAACACAATGTACTTACTGCTAAAATCTCTAAAATATTCAATATTCAAATACTCTTTCAAAGGTTGAAATTTATTGTATAAAATTACGTTATATTTCAAGTTGGGAAGAGTTGTCTTGGGGATGAGTTGTCTTGGGATGAGATGTCTTGGGATGAGTTGTCTTGGGATGAGATGTCTTGGGATGAGATGTCTTGGGATGAGATGTCTTGGGAAGAGTTGTCTTGGGGATGAGTTGTCTTGGGATGAGATGTCTTGGGATGAGTTGTCTTGGGATGAGATGTCTTGGGATGAGATGTCTTGGGATGAGTTGTCTTGGGATGAGATGTCTTGGGGATGAGTTGTCTTGGGATGAGATGTCTTGGGATGAGATGTCTTGGGATGAGTTGTCTTGGGATGAGATGTCTTGGGGATGAGTTGTCTTGGGATGAGTTGTCTTGGGATGAGATGTCTTGGGATGAGTTGTCTTGGGATGAGATGTCTTGGGATGAGATGTCTTGGGATGAGTTGTCTTGGGATGAGATGTCTTGGGATGAGATGTCTTGGGATGAGTTGTCTTGGGATGAGATGTCTTGGGGATGAGTTGTCTTGGGATGAGATGTCTTGGGGATGAGTTGTCTTGGGATGAGTTGTCTTGGGATGAGATGTCTTGGGATGAGATGTCTTGGGATGAGTTGTCTTGGGATGAGATGTCTTGGGATGAGATGTCTTGGGATGAGTTGTCTTGGGATGAGATGTCTTGGGGATGAGTTGTCTTGGGATGAGATGTCTTGGGGATGAGTTGTCTTGGGGATGAGTTGTCTTGGGATGAGATGTCTTGGGGATGAGTTGTCTTGGGGATGAGTTGTCTTGGGGATGAGTTGTCCTGTTACCTTCCTGTTTGGGGGTCATCAACCTGAATAAAGAAATAGCATGATTATTAATGTTTTCTCATTTTGCTTATTTCTTATATGACCAAAGAATTTAAGGAAGGCACCAATACAATTATTTATTTACTTTGAATTTACTACTAGTAAATATTTGTTTTGAAATATTTTTTAGACTTACCCTTACAGTACATATTGACTGACACACTGAACTAAACAAACTTGTGAGATAAGAAAATGTAGCATTTGAATCGAAGTAGATAGAACTTATATCAATGCCATGATACTTATAATAATAAAAGATATGATTGTCTGATAAATAATAAATAAATGTATAAATTGATTAATTAGGGCTAAAATATTTGATTTATATAAAGTAGGATTACAGCTATATGCCCTTCAAAGTTGAAGTTGACTCGATGAATATTTCAAGTGTTTTTGCTTGCATGTTCATGCTCATGTAGTGAATGAATGAATCCTATATGTATATGTATGGAGAGTAATGCCACTTACTTTGATGTGCATATGTGAATGATAGTCGAATTCAAACTCCAATGTAGTTTCAGTACCATGCTGATGCTTCCATTGTAGCTTAATAAATTGGAGTTCTCTTGTTTCAAAAGATGTACTCCATGCAATTGTTACATGATCCTCGTCGACCCTCCACATGTCAATCACAAAAGAGTATCTCTGCGTCTCAGTAGCATCGTTGATGAGTTTGGGATCTGGATTTATAAGTATTTCCCACCAGCTAGAGTCACTGGTGTGTCTCACATGTTGTATCATCCAGAGTAACATTGTGGGTGTGGATAGTGAGTAGAAATCATATAGTTTAATCTCCCTTTTTGGATAGATTATGTCTGGTATTGTTCTTGTGTGAAGAGAATATCTTTTAACTATTTTTGTTATTTTTATCGCACTTTGAAAAAGTGCTATATTGTCGTCGTCTTGTGCTGTTGGGCGGGCGTTTGGGCGTGCGGGTGTGCGGGCGTGCGGGCGGGCGGGCGGGACATAAACTAAATCTTGTCATCAAATTTCCAGGATAACTGCTTACCTGTTCAACTTGAAATTTTCACAGATGCAAGAACATACTAGTACCAAGATCTGATTAGGTTAAGGGCATGCTGGGTAAACTATGTGGCGGCCATTTTGAATTTTTCAACAAATCTTGTCATCAAAATTCCAGGAAAACCACTTATCCGTTCAACTTGAAATTTTTACAGATGCAAGAGCAGACAATTGCCAAGATCTGATTAGGTTTTGGGTATGCTGGCTGAATTACATGGTGGCCATTTTGAATTTTTGAATTTGGCGGCCATTTTGAATTTTTCAACTTGCTCCAAATTGACCAAATTTTTTTTTTAAAAACATCTACAAGTTCTCAGAAGTTCAAATCTGACCTTAGATTTCAGATTTGACCTTTCATTCACCTTCAGTGACCTTGAAAAGGTCAAAAAAGTTGATTTTCTGAATTGATATTTTGGATTTAAATTTAGGTCAGCTTAATTACAAAACACCTACTGAGGTCTGAAAAAGTGAAATTTTAAAGGTCGAAAGTCAAGGTCATTAAACTAGGTCACAAATGATGTTATCCAAGTTTCTCAAAGTTTGAGACTACAAATCAATTCTTGTCATCAAAATTCCAAGAAAACCACTAACCTGTTCAACTTGAAATTTTTACACATGCAATAGCAGACTAGTGCCAAGATCTGATTAGGTTAAGGGCATGCTGGGTAAACTACGTGGTGGCCATTTTGAATTTTTCAACAAATCTTGTCATCAAAATTCCAGGAAAACCACTTATCCGTTCAACTTGAAATTTTTACAGATGCAAGAACAGACTATTGCCAAGATCTGATTAGGTTTTGGGTATGCTGGCTGAATTACATGGTGGCCATTTTGAATTTTTAATTTGGCGGCCATTTTGAATTTTTCAACTTGCTCCAAATTGACCAAATTTTTTTTTAAAAACATCTACAAGTTCTCAGAAGTTCAAATCTGACCTTAGATTTCAGATTTCACCTTTCGTTGACCTTCAGTGGCCTTGAAAAGGTAAAAAATTTGATTTTCTAAATTGATATTTTGGATTTAAATTTAGGTCAGCTAATTACAAAAGACCTACTGAGGTCTGAAAAAGTGAAATTTTCAAGGTCGAAGGTCATCAAATTAGGTCACAAACAATGTTATCTAAATTTTCCCAAAGTTCAAGACTACAAATAAATTCTTGTCATCAAAATTGCAGGAAAACCGCTAACCTTGTCAACTTGAAATGTTTACAGATGGAAGAGCAGACTAGTGCCACGGTCTGATTAGGTTTTGGCCATGCTGGGTAAATTGCATGGTGGCCAGTTTGCTCTTCAAAGTGCGATATTTATCACTGTGTGTCTTGTTGTTAAAGGTATCCTAAATGTATTCTGCTGATAATCAATTGTATCAGTTTCTTGACACATGAACTTCACAGCTTCCATGAAACATTCCCCTACATGAGTAGACTTGCACTGCTGCTGGTGTTGCAACAGTAATGTTTTCAGTGCATAAGATGATGGAGGATGGAAGTTGTGTCCAGAATTAATGTCACCAAGTAGATGAACTGCATACTTGAATAGTAACAATAGTTGATGATGGGGATGCGTGAGTTGGTGGATGTTGTCATCAGGAGGATTTACCAAAGATTCCATCCAATGACTCACTTGGCATTTATTACATAATACTTGTTTTTCGTCAATAACCAGGACACTTCTACCCAATTTGTGTTCCGTTTGGTCGATGCAAAAGCAGAGATCGATATCTACAGTACACACTGGTCCACCAACACAAAGCCAAATACTTGGCCCATGTGGGAAACCTTTAGATTCAGTCCCATGTACACTTATGTCACCCTGGTTGTATTTAGTAGTGTTATCTCTTCCATGATCTCTAAATCCAATGAACTTGACATCGCTCATCTGCTTAAGAGAGTTCACAACAGCGTCCATTAACAGAAACACAAGGTTTATTTGAATGTAGCTGTCACCTTCATGCTCTTTTATGCAATTATCAGGTAGGTTATGTTTTAAAGGCTGCTGTTTAACTTTGATGTAATAGTACCCCTGTCCGGTATACTCACACCCATCACTCACCACCTTCACCTCAATGGCTTCACTATCAAACAAGGCTAGAATTGCAAGGAAATCATACTCATTAGGTTTCCATATCTTAGTTCTATCATAGTAGCTTCCTCTGTGTAGTATCTCTTTCACAATTAAGGCTGGATTTCTTATACCAACATCTTTACAGATAGACTGAATCAGATTTTCAATGTACGATGTTTGGAGTTCAAGTTCTTCAGGAGTGTATCTATTCCTTATGTCGACATGGTGAGAGACATAGTTAACAAAATTGGTTAACCTCTCAATTTGCTTCTCTGAAGTGTTCGTTTGCTCATTTTGAGGAGATGGTCTAGAAAATATCGGTTGTTTCCCATCATCAGGTGTTGCAGATGCCATTTTATATTCTTAAACTTAAAGTGAATACACCCCTAAACCTTGACCTTTAACATACTGCTTTATCTTCGACTTTTGAAATCTTTGTACAGTGAAACCTGTAACATGGAACACCTAGAGAAAAAGAACACCTCTGTTATTGGAACACTTTTCAGAGGCCCAATACCAACTTACTTAATGCTAAATGAATCTCTATAAGTAGAACACCTTCCAAGTGAAACACTTTTCAGAGGTACCTGAGGTGTTCTTCTTTGACAGATTTTACTGTACTATCAACTCTTTGTTCAACTGAGATAAGGATAAGTAAAAAATTGCATTGTGTTTATCATTTTTAAATTAAATAAAAACCTCGCAAAAAAGTTCAATATACTGTTGCCATTGTTGATAAATATCACACTTAAACAAGACTCACTGTGATAAATATCACACTTAAACAAGACTCACTGTGATAAATATCACACTTAAACAAGACTCACTGTGATAAATATCACACTTAAACAAGACTTACTGTGATAAATATCACACTTAAACAAGACTCACTGTGATAAATATCACACTTAAACAAGACTCACTGTGATAAATATCACACTTAAACAAGACTCACTGTGATAAATATCTCACTTAAACAAGACTCGCTGTGATAAATATCACACTTAATCAAGACTCACTATGATAAATATCACACATAAACAAGACTCACTGTGATAAATATCACACTTAAACAAGACTCACTGTGATAAATATCACACCACATAAATCTTGTCATTAAAATTCAAGGAAAACGGCTTACCTGTTCAACTTGAAAATATTACAAATGCAAGAGCAAACTAGTGCCATTGTTTTGATAAGATTTTGATTAAGGATTCTGCTGGGTAAATACAAGTGACTTGGTAGCCAATTTGAATTCTTCGATAAAAAGTGTGATATTTATCACAGTGAGTCTTGTTTAAGTGTGATATTTATCACAGTGAGTCTTGTTTACGTGTGATATTTATCACAGTGAGTCTTGTTTAAGTGTGATATTTATCACAGCGAGTCTTGTTTAAGTGTGATATTTATCACAGCGAGTCTTGTTTAAGTGAGATATTTATCACAGTGAGTCTTGTTTTAATAAGTATGATATTTTTTACAATGAGTCTTGTTTAAGTATGATATTTATAACAGTGAGTCTTGTTTAAGTATGATATTAATCACAATGAGTCTTTCTTAAGTTTGATATTTATTACAATGTGTCTTGTTTAAATGTGATAATAATCACAATGTGTCTTGTTTCAGTGTGATATTTATTACAGTGAGTCTTGTTCAAGTGTAATATTTATTACAGTGAGTCTTGTTTAAGTGTGATATTTATTACAATGAGTCTTGTTTAAGTGTGATATTTATTACAGTGAGTCTTGTTTAAGTGTGATATTTATTACAATGAGTCTTGTTTAAGTGTGATATTTATTACAGTGCGTCTTGTTTAAGTGTGATATTTATCACAATGTGTCTTGTTTAAGTGAGATATTTATAACAGTGAGTCTTGTTTAAGTGTGATATTTATTACAACGAGTCTTCTTTAAGTGAGATATTTATCACAATGAGTATTGTTTAAGTATGATATTTATAACAGTGAGTCTTGTTAAAGTATGATATTAATCACAATGAGTCTTTCTTAAGTGTGATATTTATTACAATGTGTCTTGTTTCAGTGTGATATTTATTACAATGAGTCTTGCTTAAGTGTGATATTTATCACAATGAGTCTTGTTTAAATGTGATATTTATTATAGTGAGTCTTGTTTAAGTATGATATTTATTACAGTGAGTCTTGTTTAAGTGTGATATTTATTACAGTGAGTCTTGTTTAAGTGTGATATTTATCACAATGTGTCTTGTTTAAGTGTGATATTTATCACAATGAGTATTGTTTAAGTATGATATTTATTATAGTGAGTCTTGTTTAAGTATGATATTTATTACAGTGAGTCTTGTCTAAGTGTGACATTTATAACAGCGAGTCTTGTTTAAGTGTGATATTAATCACAGTGAGTCTTTCTTAAGTGTGATATTTATTACAATGAGTCTTGCTTAAGTGTGATATTTATCACAATGAGTCTTGTTTAAATGTGATATTTATTATAGTGAATCTTGTTTAAGTGTGATATTTATTACAGTGAGTCTTGTCTAAGTGTGACATTTATAACAGCGAGTCTTGTTTAAGTGTGATATTAATCACAGTGAGTCTTTCTTAAGTGTGATATTTATTACAATGAGTCTTGTTTAAATGTGATATTTATTATAGTGAGTCTTGTTTAAGTATGATATTTATTACAATGAGTCTTGTTTAAGTGTGATATTTATCACAGTGAATCTTGTTTAAGTGTGATATTTATTACAATGAATCTTGTTTAAGTGTTATATTTATCACAGTGAGTCTTGTTTAAGTGTGATATCTATCACAGTGAATCTTGTTTAAGTGTGATATTTATCACAGTGAATCTTGTTTAAGTGTGATATTTATCACAGTGAATCTTGTTTAAGTGTGATATTTATCACAGTGAATCTTGTTTAAGTGTGATATTTATCACAGTGAATCTTGTTTAAGTGTGATATTTATTACAATGAATCTTGTTTAAGTGTGATATTTATCACAATGTGTCTTGTTTAAGTCTGATATTTATCACAGTGAATCTTGTTTAAGTGTGATATTTATCACAGTGAATCTTGTCTAAGTGTGACATTTATAACAGCGAGTCTTGTTTAAGTGTGATATTTATCACAGTGAGTCTTTCTTAAGTGTGATATTTATTACAATGAGTCTTGTTTAAGTGTGATATTTATCACAATGAGTCTTGTTTTATTCCTAGTTGTTACTCTATTTTACTCTAAGTAGTGTTTATTATTTGTTTGTGTGTTAATATATTTTCAGGATAGGTTGACAGAGGGGGTAAATACAGCTGTGGAAGAACGACAAAATCCAACTGATAAAGGTAATATAAACTGTACATTGTACTGTACATTGTATATGTGTAGTAGGTAGTACATGTACTTATATATGTATAATTTATTACAGTCATTGAAAATACATTGTTTGGAAAAAAGTCAAGTCAAGCATTACACTCCCATGCTTGATGTAATATTTTCTATCTATATTCCAGAACAGCTATGTCTGACATCAGATGACCTGCTTCCTATTCTAGTCTCTTTGATAATACAGTCAAAATGTCCGTATCTTGAAAGTAACTTATACTATATACAGCACTTTCACTGGTCTGACTCCAGTAAAGATGAATTTGGGTAAGTGGAAAAGCATTGTTACAGATTAGATTTTAGATAAAAATGAATAATTTTAAATGAGTAATTGCTAGAAAATAAAATTGACAATTGTCATTTTTATAATATTGGTTAAGTTTTTAATATCTAGTCAAAATTCGACATTGTTGCTCCAAAAGTGTTGTTTTGATAAAAATAACTGGCCCTCATAGTAAATACTCTACGTTTGTTTATTGTTGTTATAGTTACATAGTTGGAAGTGGACACTTATAACATTTTAATTGTTCTCGCTTTGAGTGACACACTAGGTTTTTGTCATTCTTAAGAGATCTTATAAGGTTTTAGCATGTGGATTAAATTGCATGGTGGTTACATACATGTATTTTTAATTTTTGATAAAAAGTGTGGTATTTATCACTGTGTATCTTATTAATTAATGCATTGATAAGTAAATTGATGAATTTATGGCTTTCATTTTAGTTACATACTGGTGACATTTCAAGCTGCCCTTGAGTTCCTCAACTCAACAGATTTTCACAACCTCAGACCTGCTAAACAGAAACTTAACAAAGAGGTAATTTGGAGATATCAATTCATTTAAAAAGTAGTGTACATTTTCAATTTTGTACAATGTATCATAATGAAATCTAATAGGCTGTTTCATTTTCAGTGTTCACGAACACATGCAATGTATTAGTCACAGTGTTTCCAAATTACCAATGAGAAAGTACACGTAGCTTGTTCAAAATACATCAAATTGTCATTGGATTATTAACAGTACTGATGAGTGCATAAAAAATTGCTAACATATGTTGCATCATCCGAATATTAACATGATGTCATGTATTTATGATGTCATGTATTCCAGGTTTGTCAATGTCAAACAAGTCATTTTAGAATTTCCTCAATAACATAAGAAGTCATACATTCCATTTTTGACTGGCTATTTCAATTATTCATTTCTATTATGGTCTGGGAATTTTAGAATTAAGATAACGGTACAAATAGGGTGATTATTTTTGAAGCATAGATTTATGGTAGCATATAGAGTGTTCATATGGTGTTTGGTTCCAGGTTGGTATAGAAAAAATACTCGAAATAGCCTCAAAGGACAATGAAGAACAAGCCAATCAAAATGCAGCAAATATTCATCCCATACAACTGTCGAGGAGTGAAAAGCAGTTAGAGAGAATTACAAGAATGTTGGAGGAAACCACAGCTGAAGATTTGAAATACAAGGACGAGTATAAACCTTTAGGTATTACATATTGATACACAGGCAATGGAACATATAGCAGTGAAATGAACATTCACCCATTCCCAAACTCTATGAACCAAGAAAATCTCATATTTCCTTGTTGCACAGAGAGTGGAAGATGGATTCTCATTTCATTACATTCCTGGAATATTTGATTTATTAATTGCATGAACAAAAACAGAGGTCTAGATCTATATAAAAATAATTATCAGTGATATAATGAAAAAATGAATTAATGATAATATTGAGGATGAAAAGATACAGTAAAACATATGTATCCGAACAACACTCTAATCATAATACCTTTCAATACGAAAACTAGCCTATTTTGGTCCCATGTTTTAATCTACCATAGACTTCCATGCAGCCATGTTAAAGAGATCTTGAAGTATGAACACCTGCCAATTCGAACACTTTTGGCCAGTCCCAGCCATGTTCAGATTGTACAGGTCCTACTGTATCACAATTTGTATAGTTAGTTATATTTGTTAAATCCTAGGCTTGGGCAAACCTACGAGATACTCTGGGGTGCCTGATGTAATACCATTACAAGATCCTAGTAGAAAGAGAGAGCAGTTAGGGTAAGGGTATACTATGAATTTCACCAACTTTACCTATCCAATATAAGATTTCAAAATGATCGTCCAATTCCCAGCAGTTGTCTCCTTACGACACCTGATCTAATAAGTACTAGTTCTTTAGAGTGTCATCTATATCTCAAAGATAATATGGGACTGAATTTTTTAGTTTTGATATTTTGAAATTTTTGGTTTAAAAGATAATTTGGGAGAGAAATATAAGATTTAAATACATGTGGTTATGTATATTGCATCATATTTATAAATCAATCATTATTTGTTTCCATCTTTTCCAGAGATTTCTTGTCTGCGCTACAGAATGACGGGTTTGATACATGCAGTTCTGATGCTAACAGCTCACCCTTTGGTTGACCCGGCCAACTACCTTATATGGAGAGCAGAATGATCAAATCTTCACGAGAGTTCGAAACTCACATCTGCCTGATTGCCTATGCCAATCACTTTTCACTCTTGGCAATGAACATAGAAAAACAAGTTATGCACAACGAACTGAATGCTCAGATTGAACTGAATGATATTTCAGTGACTTCCAAAGTAACGTTTTATTGGTTCTCTCTAGTCATGTGACCTCATGTACATAAGCACATGCTACATGCGGATGAATGTATACATTATAGTTGTTGGACATTTTTCTAATTCAGGTTTTCTAACCACCAGGATATAATGCAGTTCAACCCTCTTTACTTAATAACTTATATATATACAATATGTACATTATCTGCATTGGTATTTCAATCAGGCATCATTCCCTGACAGATAATGGTTATACGAAATTGGTACCTGCCACACCCATCCCTACCCCCGTGTTGCTATAGCAACCATTTTAATACTTAACATTAACTTATGATGCAGAAACTTCAGGACATGACAGATAACACTTCAATTGCAATAATACAAAAAATTCAGCTGAATTGAAGAATATTAATGAAAGTTACAGCATATAGTGCATAACTTCTGGGACAACCCTCGTATACTATACACTTACACGTGGATATTGTGTGCTTAAATGCATGGACTGACCCCATGGACATTCCAAATTGTACTTATTTTGAATTATTCTGATTTCCAACAGACAAAACTACAGACATACGTAATATTCTCAGATTAATCTAAGCTCGTGATTTACGGATATTTCAATGATCAAAAGAATGTCATTTGCAAGTGTTTATGAACTCTGCATACTTTTACAGTAATCGCGTTTTGGTTATGACATCTTTTGATGTGGCTTCACTTACTCAGAATCTGTTGATCAAAATCCAGGCACCCAATTAGAAAGACATATAAATATACAGAATATTTATTTCTTCTTAGTTGCTAAAATGTATTTTTTACCACAACTAAGTTTAAAAAATAGGACAAGTTACACAATTCTAAGTCACACTGAAAGTATCCAAACTGAATTGAATATGTTTGCATATACATCAATGGATTGCATATGTAACCAAGCTTATCTTTTTAATAGTAGACTTAATATTGTTATGAAGCATACTTATTTAATGGGATTATTGTATCTTTAAAGGCTTGAACATCTATTTTGGGGTAATTAAGATGTTATCTGAATCAAAACTGTTTATTTATTTAATGTCTTTTTCAGTGTGTAGTGATTCCTCGCTAGAGCACCAGGGTAAATGTGCACCTTACCTCATGAGCACAGTGTCTTTATACGTTTTTCTGTATGTTTCCATTCAGTGACCGTTTGATAGATAAAAGGGCAGTGAAAAATATTATTGCCTTGAAAAGCCCAAATGAAAAGTTTGAAAATATATTTTCATAATTTATTTCCTATTGTTCATGACAGGAATTTTTTTTTGGGGGGGGGAACAATATTAGCCAAGGTGGTTATAATCTCCAACTTCTTTTGTGTATGGTGTTTGTTTGTTGGTATTTGGCATCTGTATCAAATGGCAGGTTGTGACATTTTGTATGTTAATACCTTGTTTAAAATGATGTATTTACTATTGATCTATATGTTGTTATAAATATTTTTTAACAAATATTTGGTGGAGCATAATACAAATAATATAAGTTATTGAATGATTTGAAGAGAAATTCTGTATTGACACGAGGTGGAGTCAAGTGTAAATACAGAATATCGAGAACAGAGTATATCCTATATTGCACTTCTAATCATTCTATAACATTTTTATCATGTATTCTTAGGCCAATGTATTTTACTTAGGAGATAATCCCTTAGAAATGTCCGTTGTAGTATTCTACATTTATTAAGTTATTTATAACATAGTAAGTACAATTGTATTAATATCAATTTTAACATATGAAACATACGTGTATATGCATTATCAAATAAATTACAATAAATACACATAAATCTAGAAACATTTGTAATTCTTAAGTACCTGTGTTTCACTCAGATCGTAAATTACCACGATACAATTTTACTTTACAATTCATACTGCCTCAACTGCGGACTTTTATAAAATAATCTTTATTTTCTGTATGTAACGTTAAAAAATGAACATCTATTAAGCAAATTATTTTTCATTTAGAAATTTTATGAGTTAACACTGATGGTGCTGCACGCACTTATAATTAATTTTTTCAAAATTTTGTAGAATTATTTAGAGGCCCGGTGTAAAAGAAATTATGGTTCCTTGGGGTTTATGGTCCCCTTACTGGCACTGATTGTGGATACGATAATAAAGGAAAGAGTTGTATTTAGGTCATCATATAAATCAATGGAAAGTAGGACCATCATTTAATAGGTCCTCCTAGTCCCATTCACACCTGCCTTTTAGTGCATCTGTCGAGTAAACGCATGTCTTGAATGCCATACAAGATACACAACCCATTGAGCAAGATATGTACATGTACATAACACCAATCAAAAAAAAATTCATGAGCAAGATTCTTCGACCAACTGAACATGGTGCATAATCACAATCCACATGTCAACAGGTTCATATAATTGCATTCAAATCATGTTTGAAGTTGATTCAAATGGAATTGTTAAATTAAAAAAATAAGTGACTCTTGCAATACATTAGCATGTATTCTAGCTCTACCAACACCCACGATGCCATCTATTTTTCCATTTATATAGAAAATGGTCAATTACTAAGATGTACAGAGTTAGACTGTTATGGCACAATTTCCCTCAGCAAAATTACACATGCTTTTATTTGTCATATCTCCAATTTCCAAGCAACTCATTCAGTACAATATGTACAAACGTACATTCTAATCTTTGACTGGAACGCATAGAATTAGCCAATTAACATCAATAATTTCCGATATTTTCGATAAATGAGAACAATACACAGCATTTAATTATAAGACGACGTCGATGTCCGCCAAGATTTCTTCTAAAATCCCACTAGTCTAAATTAGTAAGCTATTATAAGATATAGTTTCATAATGTCATGAACATGTATTTACTTCTAATATAAAAATATAGAATTGGAACTCCTAACAACTAACAAAATTTGCGTATCGTCGTTGTAAGGCTGGAAGACACGTCTACACCTTTGTCATATACGTTTCGAATTAATAGTCTTCATGGTCGTGGATAGCGTGTTAAAAGGGTTTAACCAAATATTATTTATTTATTTATTTATTTATTTATTACAGTGTCACCCGTAATTATACGGCCAGCCTCCAAAGGCTTATGAGACACAATTACAATCATATTATAAGCAGATTTAACAGTCAGAATTAACACTTACTTTTATCTATCTTAAGCCTCCAAAGACAAAAGCAAAAAATTTGAATTGATTTTTCATTTTTCATTTTGTTTAAGGATTTAAGCCCTGGACTCAGTGAATTATACCATGAAGGTGTTGTTTCCAAACCTTTGCACGACCGTGTAGCGGGAATGCAAGGAAACAATGCCTGGGTGGAATGAAGCAGCTCCAATGCATTGAGTCTTGGGCTTAAATTCCTTTGACACATTGCACTTGTTTTCTACAAAATCATCCAAAAGAAACGAAATCACTAAAAGAACACATTTTCAATGAATTGTTTTGCAAATATAAATACACTAACCACACTACATGAATCAAATAAAACACTTTCTTTTCATAATTTTCTTTTCATAATTGTTCATCTATATGTTCTAAGCGTCAATATTACAAGGATTTCAATTGAAATTTATCTTAGGCGATTTTTGAAGCAAATTGTACATGTTTATGATAATACAATTAAACTCATTGATTTCTTCGCCATATATTTCAGTCCTAGGCTTCAGGACTACTATTTCTGCCAATTATCCCACGGCCTTAACTCCTAGAAAACATAGTCAGGGGACTTTATGTCCCAGGGGTAATGGCCCAGGGACAACTTTGTGATACCTGTATTTCGATACTGCTCTTAGTTTTTGGTTATGGTTATACAATAACAGAATCCTCATTCAATGCAAGAAAATTTTTCTCAGAATTTTGGCTCTGAATTGTGAATATTTTCATTTCTGTTGGGACACCTCCATAGCCGGACTCAATACGAGCGTTATCTTTATGTATCGTATCTACACTATCAATAAGTACGTTGGTATCATACTGCGTTTTCAAGTTATGTGACAATATGTTTCCTGAATTATTCTGTTGAGCATTGGGCGTTTTGTGTCCATTTGCCAATTGCTCAGTAACAGCATTGTGTTCATTGGCTTCATATTCAGGACTCGTATGTGGCATATCATGTTCATTTGCTACATTCACATCACGACCCTTAGTAATGGTATCATCATTAACATTGAGGTCATTTGGCGTATCATTGTCAGTTGATGCACTGTTGCGTTGAGGATTGCTATACATGTTTGCATTTTGTTTATGGTGTTCGTCACTTTCAAATCCGATATTGTCATTACAATGAACTGTGTCAGGTTTATCATTGTCGTTTACTTGTTCATTTGCATCGTCGTATAAAGGAGACACTTTTGAGCTGGTTTTCATAACAGTATTTTTTATTAACCTTTTCTTTCTTTTCTTCTTTTTAATAGGTTTGAGCAAAAGTTTCTTACTCGTTAGGTCGTCATATGGACCATCCGAGTCCAACAACGGATTCGTTGCTATGACGATATCGCTATGGTAACTTTCCCGAGATGTTCTTCTCTCAATATATCGCGTACCTTCCTTTTCGAATTCTTCATTATTTGTGTTAACTTGCATGGCATATTTTTGCTCTTCAAGTTGTCTCATGTTGTTTGATTTGGCAGGCGAGTATAACGTTTTCAGATACACATCTTCGGGAATGTCATTCCGATGCCAAAACGGAAATACCCGAGCGTCGTAAACACGTGGTCTCGAACCTTGTCTCATATGGGTCGGAGGCTTCTTTCTCCTACGATATTTTATGAAGTCTATGGGTAGAAGAACTAAGAAGGTTACACTAGTCAGACATAAGGCGATGATGAAGATTTCCTGGTGGGATACTGAAATAAAATCCATTAGCAGTTTAACATGATGTATGAAACAGTCCGTTCCAATCGGATTTATTTTGCACGCACCAATGTTTCTCATACAATTGCAAGATATTTTTGAAATATTAGTCTAATGTTAATCTCTTTAAACTATAATAACGTTTTCTAACCAACCAATACATTATACAATAGTTGGCATAATTTTTCGAGTGGGTTGGTCTTAGTGTTTTGACAGAAATGGATCAATATTATCGACCAAAAGTGATAAAAGTTCAAAAGGGTGGGAAGGGTCAATAAAGTTACTGTTGTCATAGTAACCTCATCACAAAACTAGTTTGTAACTCAAGGCATAATCGCTTTTGATTTGCAAGTGTTATTTTCAACGTTTTTGACAAATATATCCCTAAGGTATATTTGAAACTTGGATTTATTATTGACCACAATCAATGATGCCCTTGTGGCGGCTTTTTCCTCATTATATTGGTAATAAACGACAAGAAGCTCCGAGGCAAATATCTAAGAAAATGCTTGAACTAAATTGCACAAAATCTACATTTTCATAAAACAGTGCTTTGAAGTGCTGTTTTGCCACTATCTTATTAAAATTTTATTAAAGTTATAGTGCTAAAGGCTATGTCAATGGATGAGCATGTTTGCTATAATTGCTATAAAAAATGTATCCACAAAACAGCAATATGTTGCAAACGGAATGCATCTGCCTCAAATGAATTAACTGAATTGATTCAAATAGGTTGATTTACTTTTTTAGAAAACCCAAAAAACGAAACATAACTTACTTAGCAATCCTCCTTCTTCTCTGTTCGTAGTAATGTCCATTGCCGGAGTGGTTGTATTGTTAACTACCATATTGGGTTCTCATTGTCTTCACGTTCCTATGTGATGTTACATAGTATTTCAAGTATCCTCTCGGTTGTTGTCTCCCCGGGGTTGTCTCTTACTGCAAAAATTGATAAAAACATATCAGTTTGATTTTCAGTAGTGCCACGCTCGCAGTTTGCTAAAGAGAAAACCAGTACTGGCTCGTTCTGAAATAGTCAATATGCAACGGAGTAGCTTACTGGACTTAACAAACCACCAGGGAAATATTATTTTTGTTCTTGTTTTCCGCGACTGTTCATCGGCCGCATTCTATCTCCGGCTGTGGATTGAAATGTCTCTTAAAACAACTGACAAGGCAGCTTATTTGCTAAGTACCATCTCCTATATGATATGATTTTTCCTCTTCAAAAGAGAGCTTCATTTAAACTATGTATACTATTTTGTAGGCTTTAACAGACCGAAAGCTTTACGACAAACAAATTCTGAGCTAATGCAAGCAAGACTTTCAAAGAAAACTTCCACGCACACATTGGCATTTTTCTACTAAAATTGTGAATGTGATGATCCTTAAAATTAATGTATCTATATAGTGAGTTTTGCTGTCACCTTTTTGTCCTAGCAGCTAGTCTCCTTATTTTTATATTTTTATCCTGGCTCTTGTTTAGATTTTGAAAGAAAAGGAAACCTATATCCTGAATAGGCAGATACCACGTGGAGGGGAAGAAAGGCACATAGTCGGAAGATCTCGGTCGCTAACCTGTTAACCCTGACATAATTCAATGAAACATTGTCGGATATTCTATTGTTCTGTGCGTCCCCGGGGAGTTATGTGAGATATTGAGTCTCTTTTATCTAATTGTTTACTTCACTGTATGTCTTCCTCTTCATCAAAGCGGCACTATTGCAAACACCAATATAATGCCGATCAATAATTCAATAGTCAGATTAAGGGCAACTTAATCTCATCACTTAACATCATAACAGTATTTGAATATACACCCGGGGAGTCACTTTAACCGAGAATGGAGTTGAATCTAGATTCATATATTGTCATGCCACTTTTGCCACTTTGTCTTATATGTATTCAGCTCCAAGGACACAATCCCTAATTTGACAACAGTCGCCAGAGTTCCAGATCACCACTATCATGGATAGACAACTGAACCAGGACATCACAAGAAAGTCTACCCACATCCAATAAGGAATAAGATAAGTCGGATGAGTAGGAATGCTTTTTCATACATTACCATTTAACTTTCAGAAACCTTAACGATCGGATTTTGTATTCAACGATGACTTTAGTGGCGTTATACGACGGTGCCTAATCATTTTACTGTCTATAAAATGGTATCCTGATAAGATTATATATTCTCAACGGACTAGTGAAACCATTATCTCCGTTCTGTTCATTAATTCCATATTCTCCCACATAGACTTAGCAAAATTGAATGTTTTAGGTTGTTTATCCATATCCTTTTCAAAACCTGATTGTCATTTAAATTGCTGTCAGATGCACCTGTGACCTTGACCAAAAGTCTGACATCGACTTAATGTGACCTTCATAGCATTGACCCATGTGATCATTGACCTTGAACTCCAATCATGACCTTATAACTTATATCTACCGTGCCTTTTGGATTAATTTTACTAGTATCTCGCGTCAAAGTGTTAAATACAGGGTGTATGTAATTATACATAGACTCTATTGGCAATTGGACACCCTGTACATCCACTTTAGTGTCACGGAATAGGAGTCGAGTCTATTATATAATCATATCATAATTACAAAGATTATCTTACATGGTGGAAAAAGTAATGTGCATTTTCAAAAAAATCTGCCAATTGTTACTACAACTATTGGCTGGATACGTGATCACATAGGATTGCGTAATGCCAATAGCAATGTTAAGAAGAATTGAAAAAGGAGACACGCTGCATCCTTGGAAGTGAAAAGAGAGGAATCCCAATTATCCTGAAATAAAGTTAGATGTGTTGGCACTTTTTAGATTGACGAAAAAACGTAATTGATATTTTTGAAACTTACCCAAAACGCGTCCATATATCCATTTTTTGTTCCTTTCACAATATAAATGTAGTATCGTCGCATCGCGGAAACAGATAAATACGAGTATAATTATTACCAAGTACGATTAAGGCTATTTCATCGATCATTTTCTACGTTTGTACTATTACAGATATAGTAGATAATATTTATCAGATTTATTAATCAGATGATATCACAATTCAATCACTTCTTGATCCACGCACGGAATCATCTAATTACAGATCACAAGTCACATTATCAATAAAGGATTGTTCTGTACCGCAATTACGGACATAATCGTGATTCTAAAAAGGGTGAATTGTAGATGACAATTTCAGGCCCCGTAGCCCGGGGGGGGGGGGCGATAGAGCAAAGTATATCTACAGTAGACATGCAGGATAAAGTCAATTGCATCCCCGTGTTAAGTCAATGGCACTCTTCCTGACATCTTCATTTTCACAGAAGAACTCAAGTTGATCAAGTCACAACAAGTAGATTAATATAGGGGAGTATTGCTAGAATCTATTTCAGTAGTAAGAATAATAGGGGTTCTTAAACAGGACCTCAAGGCCATTTTATTACGGGGCTTCGGGGGGGGGTTTGAACGGGCCATAATTATTTTAATCATGCAGTTAATTAACTTGTGTTATAACAACTTGGGAAGTCGAAGATGGTTTTCGCCAATCTGAGCACTTTTCAAGCAATTTTGGGCCAAAGTTGTGAAACGTGATCCCCCTGGATTTTTTAGAAAAGTGAACCCATTTGCCTTAGCTGGGCGGTTACGGGCCTGATGTAGTAATCAGAAGCTCTAATAATGAATGATAGTAAGTTATTACCGAAGGAATCATAAAGCAACTTTCGAACGTAAGGGTCAAGAATTGGATTGGAGATACTAATTAATTACTTCTATGCGTGTGTTGGAGGGGAGTATCGGTCCGGCATCTAGCATGTACTTTATTTTCACATCTTCGAATGATCGAATTCAAATATGGTTATGACTTAACGTTGGAGCAACCGAAACCTCGTGAATCAAGATGCTGTTTTGAATTCGATTAAAGCCCTACAAAATAATGCCTACTGTTTGTATCGAAATAGCTGTGTGTCCACAGGGAGTTGTGTGAGATATTGAGTCTCTTTTATCTAATTGTAAACTTCTCTGTGTGCCTTCCTCTTCACCAAAGCGACACTATTGAAAGCCCAATATAATACCGATCAATACTTCAATTGTCAAATTAAGGGCATCTTAATCTTAACATCATAACAGTATTGCAAACACCAATATGCCGATCAATAATTCAATAGTCAAATACAAATGAATATCGATAAACATTAATTAAGTCAAGGTGATATCCTGTTACGTTCTCGTGTTTATGTGGTATTCATCCAGCTTGGCAAGGTGTGTCCAATTCAAGCCAATCAGAACACAGTATTTCGTATAATTGCATTTATTATACTACTCTGATGCACCCGGGTCATTTTTAGATAAGCGAAACTAATGAAATTGATATACTGATCAATTTCATAGTTTAGTGAAAGTCTATGAATAGTATCATAGGGAATAACAGGCCAGGTGCTTATGCAGGTCAAATGGTAAGTGTTGAATGATGTCATGATGATGAAATTGTCAGTGTTGACCTAGTTTATCCCTTGAACTATTTTCCTGGCAAACATACCATTCTTTTAACTGACACTGTCTGTACAAAATCGTTCGCAATGTATGAAAAGAATCAACCCCAAGACTCAATGCACAGTGACCGATTCATTCCACCCAGGCGTTGATTCCTAGACTTTGCATTCCCGCTACGCCGTCATGCAAAGATCTGGCAACGTCACTTTCGTGGAATGAATCAGCCCCCTACTTGTTATGAACATCACCAGACTCCTGATTTAACTTATTCCACATTTTAATACGCGCCAGTATTACAAAATATTATACAAATGTAGAAATTGGCATCCCCGGGAGGAAAGAAGGAATATACATACCAATGGATGGTGTCTTTATTCCTTCGTTTGAACAATGACAAATTGAGTACAAGCCCAGCTAACAATTTTACGTTGTGATAACGTCGTCAGAATATATGTCTCAAGTTGTAGCAACGTTAAATATGGAACGTTGTAGGTACAGGAAGGTGTGGACTCGCACAGATGTTTAAAGAACGTTACATTTGACTTAAATATCACGTGTCAGGAACGTAGTAGCGACCTTAACAATTACGTCGCCAAAATAACGAAACTGTAACGTACTTACATTACGTCATATATACGTGGCCAATCTAAATTTCTGGTAACGTTGATATGGAACGTTGTAGGTACAGGAAGGTGTGGACTCGCATAGATGTTTAAAGAACGTTACATTTGACTTAAATATCACGTGTCAGGAACGTAGTAGCGACCTTAACAATTACGTCACCAAAATAACGAAAATGTAACGTACTTACATTACGTCATATATACGTGGCCAATCTAAATTTCTGGTAACGTTGATATGGAACGTTGTAGGTACAGGAAGGTGTGGACTCGCACAGATGTTTAAAGAACGTTACATTTGACTTACATATCACGTGTCAGGAACGTAGTAGCGACCTTAACAATAACGTTGCCAAAATAACGAAACTGTAACGTACTTACATTACGTCATATATACGTGGCCAATCTAAATTTCTGGTAACGTTGATATGGAACGTTGTAGGTACAGGAAGGTGTGGACTCGCATAGATGTTTAAAGAACGTTACATTTGACTTAAATATCACGTGTCAGGAACGTAGTAGCGACCTTAACAATTACGTCACCAAAATAACGAAAATGTAACGTACTTACATTACGTCATAAATACGTGGCCAATCTAAATTTCTGGTAACGTTGATATGGAACGTTGTAGGTACAGGAAGGTGTGGACTCGCATAGATGTTTAAAGAACGTTACATTTGACTTAAATATCACGTGCCAGGAACGTAGAACCAACCTAAACGATGACTTCGCCAAAATAACGAAAATGTAACGTACTTACATTACGTCATATATACGTGGCCAATCTAAATTTCTGGTAACGTTGATATGGAACGTTGTAGGTACAGGAAGGTGTGGACTCGCACAGATGTTTAAAGAACGTTACATTTGACTTAAATATCACGTGTCAGGAACGTAGTAGCGACCTTAACAATTACGTCGCCAAAATAACGAAACTGTAACGTACTTACATTACGTCATATATACGTGGCCAATCTAAATTTCTGGTAACGTTGATATGGAACGTTGTAGGTACAGGAAGGTGTGGACTCGCATAGATGTTTAAAGAACGTTACATTTGACTTAAATATCACGTGTCAGGAACGTAGTAGCGACCTTAACAATTACGTCACCAAAATAACGAAAATGTAACGTACTCACATTACGTCATATATACGTGGCCAATCTAAATTTCTGGTAACGTTGATATGGAACGTTGTAGGTACAGGAAGGTGTGGACTCGCACAGATGTTTAAAGAACGTTACATTTGACTTAAATATCACGTGCCAGGAACGTGGAACCAACCTAGACGATGACTTCGCCAAAATAACGAAAATGTAACGTACTTACATTACGTCATAAATACGTGGCCAATCTAAATTTCTGATACGTTAATTATGGAACGTTGTAGGTACAGGAAGTTGTGGACTCGCACAGATGTTCAAAGAACGTTACATTTGACTTAAATATCACGTGCCAGGAACGTAGAACCAACCTAAACGATAACTTCGCAAAAATAACGAGACTGTAATGTGCTTATGCAACGTCACATATACGTGGCCAGTTTTAAGTTCTGGTACGTTAATTATGGAACGTTGTAGGTACAGGAAGGTGTGGACTCGCACAGATGTTTAAAGAACGTTACATTTGACTTAAATATTACGTGCCAGGAATGTAGAACCAACCTTAACAATGACTTCGCAAAAATAGTGAAACTGTAATGTGCTTACTAGTATGCAACGTAACATATACCTGGCCAGTTTAAAGTTCTGGTAACGTTTGTCTTGGACCGATGTAGGCACTATCAGTTATCACACGTTTCAGCATGTGATACAGGAAATATTCCACGAAAGGTAATATTGTATCATCCACGAAAGCGAAGCTTGAGTGGTGATACATTGTTACCCGAGTGGAATATTTCCTGTATCACATAAGCTGAAACGTGTGATGACGATTTTATCACATGTCTAGGAATTTTGAAGCATTTTGATTTGGTCAGTTATGATTGTGTTCAGAACCCCGTGTACTTCTGGTAACTATTATAATTTTTGATTTCGCTTTGAAACAATATGACGTCATACCGTTGTATTCGTACTTGTTTGTGAAATAGTATGACGTCATATTGTTTTCCTTAGCTAGAAGTGATATAATCAGTGACGTCACATCGTTGCTATCGATCATCACTGGTTGCCTCTAGTAACGTGTGAGACGGCCGTGTGAGACGGGAAAACTCACACGGTAATCAACCAATCAGATTACTGGAATTTTACAGAGCATGTGATAAAGGAAGGTCTGGACTCGCACAGATGTTTATACAACGTTACATTTTACTTAAATATCATGTGCTAGGAATGTAGTAGCAACCTTAACAATGACTGCAAAAATAAAATAACAGACTGTAACGTGCTAATGCAACGTCACATATACGTGGCCAAGTTAAAGTTCTGGTAACATTAACTATAGAACGTTGTAGGCAAAGGAAAGTGTGGACACGCATAAATGAGTATACAAGTTACGTTCGACTTAGATATCACGAGCCAGGAATGTAGTACCAACCTTAACAACGACTTTGCCAAAATAAAGAGACTGTAACGTGCTTGTCACATACATGGCAAATTCATAACTTCTGGTTACATCAAGTTAGGACAACACATGCAAGGAATGTTCTAGTAACCTTAATTATGCCATCAACAAGATATAGTGATAGTAATGACTAACGTCCAGTTAAATGAATCATTACATGAACATAATTTAAAGTTCCTGTACAGGAAGATGTAGACACCGATGTTCAGTAAAATTATATATAACACACTAAGCCTAACATTTTCACATGTGAAGGTAAAACACAACTAACTTATGCTTTGACTTATTAACAAATGTATATTGTTTTTCCAATAATTAATGAGTTAATACACAAGAACTTTTTTGAGCATC